CCTCCGTACCAACCTGCCTCCTCAGACAGCCAGCGTGCGCAGTGGAGACGGCTCCTCTAGTGATCTGCGGGCCATCCAGCAGCGTGTTCTCAGGGGGTCGTCGGTGGTGTACGTGGATGTGAAGCCCATGAGCGACTGGCGGCCCGATGGACACATCCAAAACTGGAGTGTCAAAGGTGAGTCTAACTTCAAAAGCAATATGTCTTTGGACTGGCAAGATGATTTTGAACACAATGCTAGTTTGATGTCCTATTACCAGTACAAGAATTTACGTGGGGCACACTTAGTGACCAATGTAATTCCCCGGTTTTGCCACAGGGGGAGCACCAGATACAAAGAAGAACGACTGCCTTCATTGGTGCGAAGGAGGAGTTACGGATGCATGGGTGGAAATGCTCTTCAACAAGCTCCAATAGACTGTGTTCTAGCTCTGAAATTGGTCCTAAAAATAAAAGACAGCGTATGTCAAACCGATTTTGTGCTTTCAACTATGAAGTGCCCCTAGTTTTTTATTGTGCAACTATGCATCAAGGGACGCCTGTGCAATAATGTTGACTTTGTAATTTATACCTTGTATACCTAGTGCGGAAGTGTAGTGTGTTATATGCGTAACCTTCCTACTTCCAACGGATAAACGCTTTCCGCGCCAACGTTTTCGGAGTTGGTGGGCGTCTGCAACTCCAGATGTTCCCACGAGAACTGTGTGGGAGTTTCGAGCCGCAGGTGCCAGGTCCTACCGTTCTCTCCACTGACCACCGCTCCGCAGGCACAGACAGTGACTTATTCCACGTGGGATGCCGCAAATGGCCAGTATTTTCCAGGCATGCTCTTCGCCACGGCTTCCCAGACCTCTGTGTGGTCGTGTCGTTGACCCCTTCGAGATCCTCCCCCACCTGAGATGCATGCGACTGCCCGCAGATGCGCACACCACTTTGTGGTGCGAAACGACATCCTCTCCTGCCCACGCTTCTGTCCCGTTGGGCGCTGTTCCCCTCCGCCCACTCCCCGTTTCCCCGTCTCCCGCATTCACGAACTCCGTCTAGGGAGTGGGTTCTCCCCCACTCCTCTTCACTCCCTCCCCCCAACCTTGGCGCGCGCGATCCCCGCTTCCAGTCTGGCTTCTGTAACTCCCAGAACTATTTCATGGATCCTTGGTTCAGTTTTTTTTAAGCTTCCACATTGTCCTAGGCGTTTTGGGGATTGTCGCGAGACGCACCTTGTACCTTTGTACATATTGTCACGCCGTTTATACGTCTTGTCAGCCTCTCTACATTTTGGCTTTGGAGTTCAGTTGCCCCTGTCTTTCCTAGCACATACTTGGTAATCCACGACCAGATCGACTACTAAAGCAATGGCTGGCAGCTACCCGCCGATTCTTCGAATGCGCTGCGTGGCGCAGACGTATGATTGGGGCATCAAGGGCAGTGGGAGCACGGTGGGTCGGCTTTACGCGCTGGGCACGAGCGGCAGCGCGGAGGCGGCTAAGGAAGACGTGCCGTACGCCGAGCTCTGGATGGGCACGCACCCCAGCGGGCCGTCGCTTGTGCTGCCGTCCGCGCAATCGGATGAGGTCGATGCCTCGTGCCCCGCTCTCGTCAAGGCCGACGTCGCAGCGGGCGAGCCGCAGCTGTTGCAAGAGTGGCTCGACGCACACCCCGAGGCCCTGGGCGCCACAGTGCAGCACAAGTGGCCCGGCCAGCTGCCGTTCCTCTTCAAGGTACGTCGCTGCATGATGTGTGGATCGGGTTTGTGCCTTTCTATAATTAATCAGGATGTGATCGTTGAAACCCTAAAATTGTCGTGTGGAAGCTGGCGGCTGCCATTCTATCTTTCCGCCTCTCCCTTAATATGTTACTGCAATATTACGCGTTAGGTATTTTTAATAAGGGAGGCTGCATCATGCATGTGAAGAAACATATCGCTTGCCCGTCACTCAGTATACCTCACCGCAACACGCTGCAGCAACCGAGTGCATGCTGATGTGGCATCGTGCTTTCCCGGCAGGTACTGAGCGTGGCGAAGGCGCTGTCGATCCAGGCGCACCCAGACAAGCGGCTGGCGGAGCGGCTGCACGCGACGCAGCCGAAGAACTACAAGGACGCCAACCACAAGCCTGAGATGGCGCTCGCCGTCACCAACTTCGAGGCGCTCTGCGGCTTCGTCACCTCGCGGGTGAGGGTCGCGGGAGGGCGCGCGGGAAGGGCGCGAGGGAAGGATAGAGAGGAGGGCAATCTAAGAAGTGGGTTTGCGAGGTCGGTGCGCGTGGCTAGTATGCGAGGTCGGTGCGCGTGGCTAGTATGCGAGGTCGGTGCGCGTGGCTAGTATGCGAGGTCGGTGCGCGTGGCTAGTATGCGAGGTCGGTGCGCGTGGCTAGTATGCGAGGTCGGTGCGCGTGGCTAGTATGTCAGATTGGTGCGCGTGGCTAGCATGCGAGGTTGATGCGCGTGGCTAGTATGCGAGATAGGTGCGCCTGGTAAGTAAGCGAGTGCGCGTGGTTGGTATGCGAGGTTGCGTTGTGCAGCCAATGGCGCTGTGCAGCACTTCGTTTCGCGACCACGTTTGTCTCTCTCTTGTAGCCTGGCCTAATTAATTACGGCCCCGCTGTTGTCTATCTCAGGAACTCCGCGAAAGCATCCAGTCGTTGCCGGAACTGCGAATGGCCATCGGCGAACACACGGCGGACAGCGTGCTGAGAGCCAGCAAGAATGGTGTCAACGGCGTCAATGGGGTCAACGGCGTCAACGGAGTCAACGGCGTCAACGGCGCTCATGAAGCTCAGGAGTGTGCGGAGCGAAGGGCGTTCAAGGACGCGTTCAGAGCGCTGATGACGCAAGACGGCGCCGTGATTGAGAAGCACCTTTCGAGCCTTGTGGCGCGGCTGCAGGCCGAATCCAAGGTGCGTGCGTCATGACGTGGTTGTATCAGGCGCGTAGTCGAAGTGTCCATGTCATGCTGCCATGGTCACCGTTGCATCCAGGATTCGCATGTGCCCTTCGCTTGTGATACATGCCGTATCATGCCATGTCATGCAACTGGGAATGGCATTTCCTGTTTGATCACTGGTCCCAGTGCCATGCAGCATGCACTCCACCTGTCCCACCAATCGCGCATGCACCATGCACTAACCATGTATGTGGCTGACCTTTGTGGCCGCCCATGGGTGCATGCAGGAGCGCGAGCTGTCGGACAAGGAGCAGCTGGTGCAGCGGCTGGAGCAGCAGTACCCGGGCGACGTGGGCGTGCTCTCCGCCTTCTTCCTCAACCACGTCACGCTGCTGCCCGGCCAGGCCATCTGCCTCGCCGCCAACGAGCCGCACGCGTACCTGGCAGGCGAGTGCATCGAGTGCATGGCGGCGTCTGACAACGTGGTGCGCGCGGGCCTCACTCCCAAGTACCGCGACACAGACACGCTCACCTCCATGCTCACCTACCACCAGGGCCGCCCCCACCTGCTCAACGGTGACCGCGTCACCCCCCACGTCACACTCTACACGCCGCCCTTCGAGGAGTTTGAGGTCGAAAAGATCTCTGTGCCCCTCGGGCAGACGGCAGCCCTGCCAGAGATATCTGGGCCGTCCATTCTGCTGGTGTTTCGCGGATCTGGAGCCATCTCAGTGGCCCCGGCCAACGGGCTGACCAAGGTGCATGGGTGCGAGGGCAGCGGTGGCGGCGGCGCCGTCATACGTGCAGGGTGTGCACGTGGGGGACATCTTCTTTGTGCCCGCGGGCAGCAACAAGCTGCTGGCGTCCGCTGTGGTGGAGACGGATGGAGCACAGAATGAGGAGGTGCTGGAGATGTACCGTGCCCGCGTGAATGCACATGTGTGCTGATGCCTGCAAGCCACTGCATGGCAGCCGCCTGAAGCCATGCCTGCTGTTGCATGGCTGATGAAGGGCAAGGGTTGCCTTGTGAAGTTGCAGGGGTACAAAGGTTTGGGGAGGTGCAGTTCTCGTGCAGAGGTGAAGATGTTCTGGTGTCACACACGCCCATTGACACATAATATTGGTGGTTGTGCTATATGTGCAGAAGGTGTAACATGACATGATATTGATATACGTTCCAGATTTGAACATGCTTGTGTTGTACTGAAGTTTATCAGCTATTGTACTGAGTAATGTTTTTGATAATTGGAAAAGCCCGGATATCATGTAATAGTTTGCCAGGTAATGCAACGTTATTGACAAAGGCCTTACTACAGGGGGAAAACCATGTAATGCCAGTGTCCTCATACAGCCTACTTTACTCTCCAAGCATGGTGTAGACACAGAGAGGAGTTGCAGCCCAGAATGCTGGAGCCTGGAGCTTGGAGCCCTGTTCTCCTGCGACCTGTCCTGTCCTTGCTCCACCGCTTTCCTCCTAGTACAGTACCACCCTCTGCTCCTCGATTCTCCCGTCAGTCGTGACGGCACGCATTTCTTTTACGGGTCCCACATCACGTCACAAATGTCTTCTGACTCAAGGCACGCTATACGCCTAGCTGACGGCATGCATTTGTTCTGCGGGTCTCTTGTCCTGCACTTTCAAGTCGTTGCGACGTCGCTTGCAATGGTCGACGAGGAGTCATACGGGGGCGATTCGGCCTCCGCAGTCAGCATCAGAAGATGTGACCGCCGCCATGGTGTGGACTTGTCGCGAAAATGAGGTTGACGGTGAGCGCGGTGCTGCTGGGCCAAAGGGATCGGCGCGACCTAGACGAGGGTTAACGGCGTGGCTTTAAATCCGTGCCTTCCCTCGCCATCTTTCAGCGGTATTCTTATTCATACTCAGCGCAACTCCTGAGGCTCACCTCCTCGTCGCCCCACTGAGCCGAGATGGGTTCCGCACTCCCCGCCGTCTTCCTGGTGCTCCTGCTCGCTCTGGGCGCGCCACCAACTCTATCGCAACAGCCGTCCGCGCCAGTCCCTTCCCCGGCTCCGGCACCCACCGCCACTGCCCCTGCGTCCGCGCCACACTCGCGCCGACTCCCTCTGCCGCGCCCAGTTCCTCGGTCTCCCCAGCTTCAGCGCCTTCCGCCCGCCCCCACCCCTGCCCCCTCCTCCTCCTCGGGTCCTGCTCCTGTCCCTGCTGCTGCCGCCACCCCTTCTGGTCCCGCCCCTGCCCCAGCGCCAGCATCCGAGCCTGCTGCAGCGCCAGGGTCGGCCCCAGCCTCTGCTCCGGCCTCGGAACCAATGATCGGTTCGGCGCCGACTCCGAGTGCTGCTCCTCCTGGCAGCGATAACAGCCCTCCGCCTCCTGGCAGTGATGAGGGCACAACGGCTCCTCCCGCCCCCGTGCGAAGTGCCGGGGAGCAACGACACTCCTGGCAGCGCTGGTGCAGGTGAGAGGGGGGCTGGGAGGGTGCTCGGTCTCTGCATGTGGCATCAGACGTGCCACATTCTCTTATTCGCTCTCACTGGTTCTGATCGTTGCTGTGTGTGGCAGGTCAATATGTCTGACTAAGGACACCATTCTCATGGCTGCTGTTGTGACTGTGGCATCTTCTGGCACTCTGAGTTCCTGCATGTGCTCTCATAACATTGATGGCCACTTTTGCAATGATCCGGAATCATCATTACGGTACTTGTGACTACCCCATTGTGGCTCGCTGCATTTGATGAATATTCTCATTTGCAAGTACACATTGACCTACACTACAGTGTGTCGAGCTTTATTGTTCTCTAGTCCTGTAGTGCTTTGTCGACTAGTGAGCTACGGTATGCACTCTTCATTCATACCTATGTTTTTAACCTTCAGTACCAGATGTATTTTGGATACGGGAGAACCGCGTGAACATTCTCAGAGGGATCCAATGATATGTTGTAGCTCTGAAACAATGTGATTTACATTGCATACTACTACCCCAAGCTTGCACAGGCAAGCAGAGAAGGTGAGGGGCAGCAGCGGGTCAGCAAAGACCCTCTCCCCGGTGGCGAAGACGTTCCACACAACGGTGCCCACCAGGTACAGCGCCACCGCCACCAGTGAACACCTCGTCCCACGACCCTGCCACCCACCCAGCACACGAGGGGGAGAGAGGAGTAGGGGGAGGGGGGGTGTGGTGCTTTTCAGACGGCTCTACAAGGGAGGCAGTACGGCAGGGCCTTGCAAGCTCCCAAGGCTGTTCAAGGGATCGTCCCATGAGTCTGTGACGTACCGTTTTGAAGGATTCTGCCCACGTGACGTACGTGCCGAAGACCCCCGCCAGCACACCAGCACTGTTGGACAGCCCAGCAGAATGCCCTGAGGCACAGCGAGCATGCACGGTCGAGAGAAGGGGATGGTGAGGCAAGTGATGCGGGCCCAGACAGAGGGGAAGAACGGGGTGGGTGAGGGACGAGGCAAGTGAGAACGGCAGGTGCAAGATCACAGAGGCAGGCAGCGAGGCGCGTGGCAGTGGGGAGGCACTGACCGCGTAGCGCGGGCCGATGTCCTGATGGTTGGAGTAGAGCCCCGACTGGAAAAGGCGTCCGTGCCCTGGGGGGGGGAGAGTGCAGGGGCATGAGGCATGGGGCATGAGGCATGGGGCATGGGGCATGAGGCATGGGGCATGGGGCAGAGGCATGGGCATGAGGCATGGGGCATGGGGCATGGGGCATGGGGGCAATGGGCATGAGGCATGGGGCATGGGGCATGAGGCATGGGGCATGGGCATGAGGCATGGGCATGGGGCATGGGGCATGGGCATGAGGCATGGGGCTGGGGCATGGGGCATGAGGCATGGGGCATGGGGCATGAGGCACAGCGGCATGGATGCAGGGGGCATGGGAGAATCCAAGACAGATGCAAGAATAGCAAGTGACGTGAGGAATGGTGAGAGGCAGCAGCAAGTAGTGGCGTGTGGAGGGGTGGAGGGGTGGGGGGGTGGTACCTGGGAGAGCATGAGCAGGGCGATGGCAGCCACAGGCGACTTGACAGTGGAGAGCAGTGAGAGGCAGATGGCCGGTCCCAGGAAGCCGATGCTCTGCATCACCTGTGGCAGGGCATGGCGGGTGGTCGGGCAGCAGGCACAATGGGGTACGAAGGACGCAAGAGGAGCAGGTTTAGTGAAGAGGCATATTGGAAAAAAGGTCGGACCTGAGAGGAGAGAATGCGGGAGGGGGGTGCACGAGGGTGACGGAGAGGCCCACCTTGCGCACGAGGGTGACGGAGAGGCCCCTGGCGATGAGGGTGTCGGCGATCCATCCACCGACGTTGGAGGCGATGGCCATGGTGAGCCACGGCAGCACTGCAAACAGCCCCGACTCTGTCAGGTTGAACCCCAACACCTGCCATTCCCAGGTCCATGTGCCCATGTGCCGCGTGCATGCCATGCAGGGGAGGTGGTGACATGCAGGGATTAGGAGATTAGAGGCTTGTAGGCGGGTGACTGAGTGGGTGGGAGGGCCGTGGGCACATATCAGGTGAGCATGACTCGCATTGTAATAGCAGGTGGGCATGGCTCACGACTCACATCTTGGTAGGCGGTGGGCATGCCTATGCCTCACAATCATGATAGGAGGTGGGCATGCGTATGCCTCACACCATGGTAGTAGGTGGGGATGCGTATGCCCCACACCATGGTAGTAGGTGGGCATGCGTATGCCCCACACCATGGTAGTAGGTGGGCATGCGTATGCCTCACACCATGGTAGTAGGTGGGCATGCGTATGCCTCACACCCATGGTAGTAGGTGGGGATGCGTATGCCCCACACCATGGTAGTAGGTGGGGATGCGTATGCCCCACACCATGGTTAGTAGGTGGGCATGCGTATGCCTCACACCATGGTAGTAGGTGGGCATGCGTATGCCTCACACCATGGTAGTAGGTGGGCATGCGTATGCCTCACACCATGGTAGTAGGTGGGCATGCGTATGCCTCACAAGCCTCACATCATGGTAGTAGGTGGGCATCCAGGTGAGGAGGATGAAGACGCCCCAGTTGTGGCAGAAGTGGCAGATGATGATGGCCCACACGGGCGCCTTGCTCAGCAGCAGCCGCCACGGGATCGTCGACAGCCGCAGCGGCTCACTGCCCTCCAGGTGCGGGCCCCCTCCCCCCTCATTGCGCCTTGCCCGCGCCCTGCCCCTTCTGTGCGCCCCCGGCTGCTATGAGCGCCCTCTCTGCGGGTGAACACACTGGGGTCCTCCGCGGGGCGAGCTGAACGCCTGAGGGGGGAGGTGGAGGGGGAGGGGGAGGGGGAGGGGAAGGGGGAGTGAGGGCAGGAGGTGGTTGGGCTACAGATGGGGGTGGCAGCCAAGCCAAGGGCTCGGTGTTCAGTTTTTTTTTGTTGTTTATTTGTTTTCTACTGAACCGGGAGGTTTGCAGTGCATGGAGCGGGAAGCAGCATGTGGCGTACCTTGATCTGCCAGCAGCATGTGGCGTACCTTGATCTGCCAGCAGCATGTGGCGTACCTTGATCTGCCAGCAGCATGTGGCGTACCTTGATCTGCCAGCAGCATGTGGCGTACCTTGATCTGCCAGCAGCATGTGGCGTACCTTGATCTGCCAGCAGCATGTGGCGTACCTTGATCTGCCAGCAGGCGAACCAGACGAGGCCGAGGGAGCCGAAGGAGTAGAAGACGGAGGCCAGGCGAAGGCGTGGATGATGGCGGGCGACAGCGACAGCCCCGCCACACTGCCCAGGTACATGCCGCTGTACACGAGCGCCAGGGAGCGACTGCGCTCGCCCACCGGCACCCACTTGGACAGCAGATTGTTCATCGCTGGCATTGCCACTCCCTGCCCTCCCCACCCAGCCAAGGCACGAGGGAGAGGGTAGCGCACGGGTGGGAAAGGGGGAGGGTTGGGGGAAGGTTGCGGGAAGGTTGAGACAGGGGGAGAAGGGGTGATAGGAGCGCGGCTGAGGCGCGGGGAGGCGTGGAGGCGGACAGGGCGGTTGGCAGAGGGACGCAGGGAATTGCAGTGGCGTGAGCAGCAGCAGCGGCGAGGGGGCACGGACGGGTTTACGGGGGGAGTGGGGCGGACTGACCTCGCCGACGCCCATGCAGGCGCGCGCAAAGAGCAGTGCGGGCAGGCCGAGGGAGGCGGCGATGGGCGTGAGGACGGTGGCGAGCGACCACCACACCACCCCGAATCCCAACACCTGCTTGCCGCCTATCGTGTCCGCCCACACCCCCCCCCGCCACCTGCCATGCTCCCGGGGGACGGGCGTGTGGGCGGGAGGGGAGGGGGTTGAGAGAGAGAGAAGGGAATGGGGTGAAAGAGGGATGGGAGGGGGAGAGGGGGAAGGGCATAGAGAGTGGTGAGACGGCATAGCGGCGCGGCAACTGCGCAAGCAGAACAAGCGTTGAGATATGAGCACGGCAGTGTGTGCGTCGTGAGTGCAGCGCACACACACGAGTGAGGTACCTGCGTGAGGGGCACATGCGTGCGTGAGGAGGGTAGGGCGAGAGGCATGTGCCTAAGTGAGGAGGCACGTACCTGAGTGAGGAGGCACGTACCTGAGTGAGGAGGCACGTACCTGAGTGAGGAGGCACCCACCTGAGTGAGAAGGTAGCCCCACCTACCTGCGTGAGGAGGTAGCCCCACCTACCTGCGTGAGGAGGTAGCCCCAGAAGAAGGAGGACTGCACGAGCCCCACGGTGGCGGGCGACCACTGGAACTGCTCCGCCATGGGCAGCACCGCTATGCTCATGTTCACCTGCGCGCCGCACCAGCCCCAACAGAGGAGGGGGAGAACCGTTCAGCAAGGGGGGGACAGTTTGCACAGCAGGTGCCCGCGCGCATTGGGGGGGGGGGATGTGCACGAGCAGTACGCGAGGCGCAGCAGCACGGGCATGCGTGCATGGCGGCACGGCCACGAGGCCAACAGCGCCTCATCAATTCTGTGCAACGACCTGCCCAGCACGCCTGCACTCCCGTTCCCCCTTGATTCGCGCACTGCATGTTGCATTCCCGCCCTTCCCCGTGGACTCACGCGGTCCATGTTGCATCGTCCTCCCCTCCCCATTCATGGCACGTGGTCCATGTTGCATTCCATGTGTCCCATTCTCTCCCCCCCCCCGCCATGGACTCATGCGGTCCATGTTACAGAGCAGGAAGGCGACTCACGCGGTCCATGTTACAGAGCAGGAAGGCGACTCACGCGGTCCATGTTACAGAGGCAGGAAGGCGACTCACGCGGTCCATGTGAACAGAGCAGGAAGGCGAAGAAGCACAGCACCACGATGCTCCACCGCTTCTGCCAGCCCCCCGCGCCCCACACGCCGCTCCACCACCCGGGGACGACGCCCGCCGCTGCCTCTTCCCCCGATACCGACGATGCTGACTCGCCTCGCGCACTATCCGCGACGACACACGCATCCGCGGAATTCACACCCGTCCCCGCCGAAAGAGCACCATTTCCGCCACTATCACCCGCGGTTTCCCCCGTTGCGCCATCACCAGCGCCCCTGCTGCTCGCCTCCCCGCCTTGCGTTTTCTCCACCCGGCGTGCAATTGCGCCCTCGTCGCTTTCTGTCGCACGAACGATCAGCCGCCTCGAATGTGGTCGTCGACTGTTCTGATTGGCGCGGAGCGGGCGGGTCCTGATTGCTGATGGCGCAACGGCGGAGAAGGGCGCGTGGCTGGCACATGGCGCGAATGCGGGATTGCAATCGATGCGACGCGCGGAGGTGCGGTGGGACGAGTGGCCGATAGCGAGACGCGCTGAGACAATGGCGGGGAGAGAGGGGGGAGAGGGACGCATTACAGCCCCACGACGCCATAGTATGCCGGTGACTCAACGCTCATGCGACAGTCATGCATCTGTGACATGATAGAACCGATTTTGAAAGCGAATTGGGCGCAAGCGACGGGTATTGGGCAGAAGCATGACACGAACCGTACTTGGCTGGACGACTGCGCTCGGGTGTAGAGCAGCCATGGCTTGCAATGGCGCGATGCAGCGACAATGGCGCGATGGAGGCGGCCGCTCTGAGCGCCCTGGTGGTCCGCTCTCCAAGCCTATTCCTGCCTGTGCGCCATGCCTCACCTCAACTCGCTGCGCCTGTTGTGATCAACTCAACTCAATTCTGAAAGGAATATTCTGCGGCTGCAGTTGCCAGTCTGTCTTTGCTGGACACGCAGTGGTGCGGCGGAGGGTTCGATTCTGAGGAATTGTGGTCGAGAGGTGGCTGCAGTGTGGGGCGCACCTGTGTTGGCGGAGTCGAGGGCGCAAGGCGGGAGCGAGGGCGGGGAGGGAGAAGGCAAGGAGGACGGGGAAATCTAGGAGCGCGCATCTTTTCAGGCGCTGCAATTCGAATTCAGGCCCACAATTCCCAAGAACCAGGCGCTTGGGGCTAATTCCAAGGGACTGCCACGTAGTCGGTATTAGCCGACGTGTCGACAATGGCAGTGGCATCTCCGCAACAATGTACCAGAGTTCGAGACGTACATTTCATCGAAAGGCGATGCGCTAAAACGATCTTGAAGATTGCGGGTTAGAATTTCGTACACACAGGACAGCTCTAAGGGCAATTCACGTAAAGTTACAAGAACTAATAGCTGACTCAATTCCTAGATTAAGTTGAATTCGACCTTAGGGAATGACAAGTGTCTGCACAGCTATCAACTGAGCAAGAAACGGAAAGATTCGCTTCCAAACTCTTTATCTGTGAGGCCGTAGTTGCCATCCATGATGTCGCGGCGTGTGAGGCCTCCTGTCTGTGTCTTCCTCATCATCGCCACAAACTCCTGGTAGTCAATCGTCCCATCCTGCACTCATAGAATTTGAACCATTAGGCAATAAGCATGATGGCACCAGATTGCATGTGGAAAAAAAAATACACAGCAAGCGTACACACTAACCCCGTGAGACTGACTTGCGCCCAGCCCCTAACCCCCCAATCCCCGAACCATCCCCCCCCCTCGTCCACCCCCTCTCCCCACCGCCCCCCCCCCTCCCAGCAGCGCACAGACCTTGTTTTCGTCGACCTCGCGCATCATGGCCTCGACCTCGGCGGTGGACATCTTGAGCTGCTCACACGCCTTCTGCAGCTCGTCCAGCGTGATGGTGCCGCTGCCATCCGTGTCAAAGAAGGCAAACGCCTTGAGCAGGTTCTCCTGCTTGTCTATCTTGCTCAAATTCAGCGTCGCCGCCAGGAACTCCCCGTACTCTATCTCCCCACTCTGGTCTATGTCCGTCTGCAAGGGGCATGCCATGCCATCATATGCCCACAATGCCATCCATGACAGCATGCCGTCATATGCCATGAAATACAAGTCACATGTCGACCACATCATCACATGCCATTTTTATGCCCACCATGCCATCACATGGCCACCATGCACCCAGCATGCCACCACAACAGAATGCCACATAGAATGAGTAACGTAGTCTGCTAAGCACCACATTGACGTGCCCCACCTGCGCCCTGCCCATGCCCGTTTCCCACCTTGCCCTCCATCCACCTGCCAATGCACTCCCCGTTCTCCATGCTTCATCTTGCCTCACCGCCTGCATGATTCTCCTCCTCTTACACTTTCCACAATTCCGCTCATCTCACCTCCTCCACAATTCCCCCCATCGCACCTCCTCCATGATTCTGCTGATCTCAGCGTCACTGAGGTTGGCGCCGTACTTCTTGAGCCCATCACGCAGCTCGGTCATGGTGATGGTGCCGCTGCCGTCCGTGTCCATCGCCTCAAACAGCTCGCGCAGCCCGCGGATCTCCTCCTCCTTCAGCCCCTCCGCTATCACCTGCACCAACCGCCGGCCGGCCCCCGCCACATCATGTGTAGAGGGGGGGAGCGGTGGGGGTGCCAGTGGTGTGCGGGTTGCGGGATTGGGGCGAGGGGTGGACGGGAAGGGGAAGCGGGAGAGGGGGTAAGGTGCTGCGGAGCAAGGTGGGACGTGAATGGGTGGTGATGGGACGGGAGAGTGAGACGGGAGAGTGACGAGGCATGGAGGGTGCATGAGTGATTCGCGTGACACCTCATGTTTCATGCTCGTCTGTGGTGTGGCAGCAACATCAAAACTGCCTGCCCCACACATTTCCCTACACTTCGTTCCCTCTCGTTGCATTCACGTTGTGCACAGCTCTTGCTTGCTTCGGCGTGTTGAGTGACTGTTCCCCGCTCCCCCTCGTTCGTCAAAAGGCATACCTTCATGGCCATGCGCTTCATCTTCACCATACCTTCATGGCCATGCGCTTCATCTTCACCATCGATGTGAACTGCTTCAGCCGCGTCAGCACCACGGGCGGCAGCGGCTCCGTCTGCGCCACGCCCGCCTCCGCCAGCCACGGGTGGCCTGCATTACGCGCGCACGTATGCGGGCGGGAGGGGGGGAGGGGGCGGGAAGAAGGGGGTTAAGTGGGCTGGGGTTGGGGAGCTGCTGATTAGGGGGGGGGAGGGGGGAGGAACGGGGTTTCATGAATGGGGAGAGGTCGTGCATGGGACACGGTGGGGGAATGAGAGAGTAACATGGGGAAAAGGGATGGCGGAGCATGCGGGGAGCGGGACTGACAGAGCACTTCGTGCGCGGAGGGGCGCTTGGCGGGGTCGGGGTGCAGCATTTGCGCAGGAGGTCCTTGGCCTGGTCGGAGATGGACGGCCACGGCGGGATGGAGAAGGACGGGTTCGCGCGCAGCACCGCCTTGAATATCTCCTTCGTCGAATGGCTGCCTGCGCGCACACCGTTGCAGGGGGGTAGGCGGGGCAGGAATTGGGGAGAAGGGAGGGGGAGGGAGGGGGGGAGAGGGGAAAGGGGAGGAGGGGGGGGGGGTTGGTTGGGTGGTTGGTGCGGGGAAGGTTGGGAACTGGTGGCCAGAAAGGCGCGGAGAAGTGGAGGGAGGAACAGCAGCAGTTGATTACACAAGTCACGTCATCGACCTCAGTGGCCAGCCATGTCACTGTGGTACGAAGGCACGTACTGTGGTAGAAGGGCGCGTACTGTGGTAGAAGGGCGGGAAGCCGCAGAGCAGCGCGTAGATGATGACGCCCGCGCTCCAGATGTCCACCTCGGGGCCGTACTTGGCGGGGCGCTTCACCATGAGCTGCGTGGCGGAGCGCCAGCGCACGACCTCGGGCGCCATGTACATGGGCGAGCCGCAGTGGCGCGCCATGCCCTCGCCCTTGTAGAAGCACGACAGCCCGAAGTCCGTCGCCTTTAGCTCCGCCGTGTCGGGGTCGCGCGACGACAGCAGGAAGTTCTCCGGCTTGAGGTCGCGGTGCACGATGCCCAGCGCGTGGCACCGCTCCACCACGCGCACTATCACGCGCGCCATCTCCGCCGCGTCGTGCTCGCTGTGCGGGGAGGTGGAGGGAAAGGGGGAAAGGGAGAGAAAGGAATGGGGGGAGAGCGTTGAGGGCGGAGGGGGGAAACGAAAGGAGAGGTAGAAGAATTGAGAGTGGAAGTCGAGAGGAACGGGGGGCATGCGCGGAGGCGAGCATTTGAAACGAGGCGTGCGAGGGGGATCGGGGAACAGGTGGAAGGCCGAGGGGCTCGCGGCGGGGTGCAAGGCGGACGCACGAGTAGGGGACGCCGCGCGCCTCGATGCGTTCGATGATGGTGTCGTAGAGCTCGCCGCCCGTGCAGAGCTCCATGACGATGTGCACGTAGTCGCGATCCTCGTACGCGCCCTTCATGTTCACGATGTTCGGCTGCCCCTGCACTCCCACACACGCACGCACGCACGCACGCACGCACGCACGCGGATAGCAGTCAGGCCACGGCGAGGATGCAACGCGGTCAGCGGTGGACGCTTGCGCGGCAGATGCGAGCGCGACATGGCTGTGTACTAGCGCGCGCAGCAGGAATCCGGCAGCGCAGCAATGGCAACGGCGCGGCAATGCCGAGAGCGCAGCATTGCCAGCAGCGCAGCATTGCCAGCAGCCCCGCATTGCCGGCAACGGAGCATTGCCGACAGCAGCATTGCCGACACTGCAGCAAGGCATCCGGCGCTGCGTTCCGCAACTATGGGAGTTCGCGCCTGCACGTGGCACAGCGGGGCCAACGCGCACCTGCACGTGGTAGAGAATGGCAACCTCGCGTCGCACGTCCTCAACGTCATTCTCCGTGAGCAGCTTGCTCTTGGGAATCGACTTGCACGCGTACTTGTTGCCCGTCGAGCGCTCGCGACACACGTACGTCGTCCCAAACTGCCCCGACCCCAGCTTCTGCCCGAGGTCGTACAAATCGGTGAACCGGTCTGCACACCGCAAAAAGGGGTGAAAACCGACAGGAGCACAATAGAAGCCGCTTCGCAAAGCTCGCCACTAAACCTTTTTAGGAAACACGAAACGCCCTCGACAGCAAGGACGCCAGTAATGCCAGCAGCGTACCTTGACTTGGTGTCGCGAGCACGCGCAATGCTGGCGATCGTTTCTTAGTTTGGCCAGCGGCGTCGACCCACGACAACAAATGCACACACAACAGAAACAAACCAGCGCTGCGTGAGCCAGAATGTGAACACGGTACAAATGCCTGCCGCGGTAGCCACGTTACACTGACATGCGGTCAATTAAAAGAAAAAAAAACTGTCTGAACTCACATCGGCCATGGCGGCTGACCTCACAGGAGGCAGTAAGGCTAAATTAGGTTCTTCGGAGCAATTGTGGAGGCCAGTCGACCTAAATATTACCTCTCCTCCCTTGATTGCATTCGTCTGCGCATGCTTGTCTGCTGCCAGCTCTCCCGCGACCGCGGGAGGGGGGGGGGAAGGGCATCCGCGGTGCCAGCAAGCTCCGCTTCCACGACGGGGTGAGGTGATAGGGCGGAGGACGGGTGATGGCACGGGGCGGGATGTCCTGCAGAGGGATCGTGCGGAGCCACATCATCGATTCTTTCAAGGAGACCAATAATTTATCACTCGCTCGAACTGTAATCCATGTTTCGTAGCCGAATTGCTGTGCAGTTGCGTGCGTTCTATACAAAAAAATATATCCCCAAGTCCGAGGGGCACAAATCCAATCTGCCTGTTTTTTCGAGCCGTCCAGCTTGTTGGTTGGGACGGTGGGCAGTTTGACGTGTCGTTGGACTAAAACAAGAAGCCCGTGATATAAGAGGCCGCGATAATGATAATGTATCGTACAGAGATCGTCATTTTGGTTAACCACGCAATAATTTTCGTAAGAACATATGCACAGGCTAAATCCCGCTCCAACGGGTTGTATTCCCCAGCACCGTAATCCTGGTGGGCTCCTCAGGATCACATTTATCTTTCCACGAGTGGTCCCTCCATGAATCAGCCCATCTTGCCATCATGTGGGCTGATAGTCTTCTCAATGAGTACAACGCAGCAGTCTTGGAAAATCCTGACTCGGTGAAGATAAAGTGGTTGCAATGTGTGAATAGCAGCCATTCAGCCACGGTGGATTGAAAGGCTTCCGCCCTTTGTTCATCTGAGAAGCCTTGAAGCTCAATGTGAAGGGGCTGAATACCGGTTGTTCATGACCTGCATGAGGACCCAGGCGACAGGGGTCAAGCAAGGCAAAAGGGCAAGAGGTGCCATAGTAGCAAAGTCAACCAGCATCTCTCCACAAGCCTTCCATTTTACCTTACTGCCATATTTCCTCTGTGCAGCCTGCTTGAGTCCAAGCGACGAGCTCATGAGCACCCACTTGACTGCCATGCCTGGGGCGTCACTCGAATACCAGTAGTCCTCCAGCTTCTGCATGCGCCACCACATACAATTCACAGTCACACACGGATGATGCCAAGCACGGCAGCAGAGAGCACGAGAACTGCTGTGGCCACCCACCTGAGCACAGGAAAAGAGGCGCTGGGAGCCCTTGAGGAGGCGCTTGACGTTCTCCTTGCGCGGCTTGACCTTCTCGCCCACCTTGGGCTGCTCCCACGTGGAGATGTCGCTGGTGCGCACGTGGATGCAGATGGACGCCGTGCCCGGGTACGTCAGCTGCGCTATGCCCTCTCGCACCATGTGCCGCACCCCTGGCGTCGGCCTGCCGCCACCACCATGACAGTTCCATGCATGGAGGTGGGCGAGGGTGGGCGAGGGGCCAGGTTAGAGGTGCGAGGCAGAAATGTGGTGGACGCACATTGAGATGCTGCTGCAGTGTAAGGTGGACAAGCTTGTGCAGAGGCAGGGGAGCATGTGTGACAGCATTTCATCAGCAAGCCGTGACCTGTGGTGCACAGCAACCACGTGGCATGCGACACTACGTGGGGTGGCATTGGCACCTACATGATAAGGTATCGCAGAATGCACCCGAATGCGGACGGCAGTCTAAGCCCTCGTCTGTGCAGCTCGTGCCACCAGGCACCGTCCTCCTCGTACAGCCGCACCAGCAGCCCGCGGTTCCACATGAGCCTGATGTTCCTCGCGGCGCGCATGCGCTCGAAGAACTCCGTCACGTTGCTCGGCAGGTCGCGGTTGTGCAGATTCACGCGGAGCACCTCCCCCTCCTGCACCTCGTTCGGGTCTGCCTGCCCGCGCCTGCGCCTGTCTCGCGGGCCCGGCGGAAAGGGGCGCGCGGGGTCCATGGGGACGTCGTCGCCGAGGCGCCAGTCGATGTGATTCGGTTCGAAGGCGTGCAGCATCCAGGGGTAGTCGACGATGAGGATGCGATCCTGCAGCACGCACAGCAGGAACGACGACACGAGCCCGATCAGCAGGTCGCCGATCCCACCGCACAGCCCCGGCGTGCACGTGAACGTCAGGTACCGCAGCTCCGCCTTCTCCTGCGCCCGCGCCGACGGATCGCGCGCCGCAGCGCGGGCGGAGGTGTGGAAGGCGGTGTAGTTGTGCTGCCAAGCGTCGCCGCACGGCAGCTCTGTGTCGTCCGTGGAGTGCGGGCGAGCCAGATGCGACGGCAGCACGAGCCTGCGACGACCATTGTACTGCTCGTTCGAATGGCTGACGATGGTGGAATGACGATCAGCAGAGGTGGGAGAGGGGTGACTGAATTGGTGGGAGATGAGAGGAGAGGCTGTAGCCGCGGATGCTGTTATAAACAGAAGCAAGGAGGACAGATGCCGGAAAGACTGCAATCGAATAGCCATTGGTGATCGGTGAAGCCGTTGAGGCCGCAGCTGGCGTGCCTGAAGGCGATTACATAACTCGAGATGACCGACAGACACGACGTATATTCTGACAAGAAACACGACTGATAACAGAAGTCTTATGAAAACGCACGCATACTATAGTCTACCTGGGTGGCACACTGATCATACATGGAACCATAGAAACAATGCGCCGACCTAGAGAGCTCTTAATTCACTTCGTGATCAGATGGGCCCAACAAATGCTTCTGTACGCCGTTGACGCTGCCTCGGTTTTTTGAATTTGCTGGGATTGAATGGAATGGTCGTGTATTATCGACTAGATTCGACCAATTCGGACAACCAACAACTTCTGGCTCACTCCACATTGACTCCTCACATCCATGTCTCACCGCGCTGTAAAGCCTCCAACCCCTGGCGAGACCTGAGGCCACCTCACCCCACCCATTCCACCCAAGGGGATGGGGAAGCGGCCCGCGACTGGTTGGGTGGGGTGGGGTGGGGCGGGATGGGGACGGATTTCGTGGTCCCGCAAGCGTGTTTTGCACGCAGCACACCGCATCCGTGCGGAGCGACGGGGAAAGTGCAGAGCTGTGCGTCAGCGGCGGTACTCAGCCGCGCGATCCCATCCATCACATCCATCGGATTTCCCAAACTATCGCATTTCAGTCGCATCGCATTCCCATCCCATCCAGTTCCTCGTCGCAATGCCATCGTCACGCTCGCCTGCCTGACATATCCTTCGCGTGCCACAGGCCAGCGAGCGACTCAGCGATCCCCCCGTCATCAGTCAGACCGCCCGCCGTAGGAATGCCGTGTGCACTCATCCTACCCTCGCCAACCTGCCGTACAATCCCAAGGCTAATTTGCTGTTGCGAGATTTGCCAGTCAACGCAACAACACACCCACCTGCTGCCTCTGTCAGCCTTGCCTGTGATAGCATGATTATTCAAGACCCTGCTGATAGCGTTAACAGTAGTTTCAGTTTGTGAATTACGTAGTGGAAGTGAGAGCGAGCGAGAGCATGGCTCGCGATAGGAGCGTGTGCGTGGAGGCCAACACCGACGACGTACCTCCGCCGCCCAGGGGTCACTCGTCGCTTCGCAGTCAATTTCGCGAGGTCAGAGAGGTTGCGAGGTCAGACAGGTTGCGAGGTCAGACAGGTTGCGAGGCCTTTCTACTTGTCGCTGGTCATGCCGTTCGCTGTTCGTCGGAGTGTGCGCTGTCAACACCTTCGACCGCCAACATGCGCGCTCGTTCTGATTGTACACAAGCAGCGCGTTGCCCATCGTCGTCTACCCACGCGTCCGCCATGTCTGAATGCATCGCTCACAATCTAAACACACTTATTTGTTCCCGTGTGTTCGTCTTTCGTCCTTCAATCTAAAGTCGTATTTCCAATGAATCTGAGCGCGCACTCGCACCGTGTATCCCGACGTTTCCCGCGTTTCTTCCGCAGGCTCCTGCAAGCGCGCAGTCGGTCGCACAAGGCCGGTCGCTGCCGTCGTCGTCGTCCGTGCCGAGCGGCAACGCGCGCTACATCCGCTCCACCACCACCCCCCCTCTGCGCCGACCCCCGCCCGCGCAGCCTCCTCCAGCTGAGGGGAGCGATGGCGACGGGAACAGCAAGCCAGAACCCCAAGCGCGGGAGTTGCGCGGCAAGCAAGGCGCGCGCGAGGGTCGCGGGAGCAAGAGGATGGAGAATGGCGAAGGGGGAACGCGGGCGCAGGAGGGGGGGGGTGGGGGAGGCGCGCAGGAGAAGGCGGGGGTGGCGGGGGTGGCGCGCGAGGTGCTGTTCGTGAAGGGCAACGTGGCGGTGCACCCGTCCGCGTCGTCCAGTCGCAAGATCGCGGGGCAGCTGCGCCTCGTCAAGCATGGCGCTGACGTCTTCCTCGTACGCGCACGCCCCCCGCTTCCTCCCCTCGCCCTTACTTGCCACTCCTCGCCCCCAAACGCTCCGCCTCCCCGCCTCGCCTTGCCTCGGCCCATCTCGGCCTGCTCGCGTTTTTTGTCATGTCCGTGTGTGAGCCGGTTCATCCCTCCCCTTGGATGCGCGTCCCAGGAGCCCGCCCCTTGCTCCGCTCTATCACTCCACTCCTCGCCCTCTTTGCCCTTCCGCTCTTAGGAATCTCACCCACCCATGCCACTTGCCATGCCATACACCACTCATCCCACCAATATGCACCCCCTGCCCCACATACCCGCCCCTGCCGCTGCTTCCAGAACTGGATTCCCTACGAGCCCTCCTCGCCCGCAGGCACGCCTAAAGGTGCGTAGATGCGTTGATTGTACAGGCCATGGCCTCGCGTGTTGATCTCTCATGCACACATGGCATGCAGCGTGCACTCTGCACGGCACTGCGCTGGTCAGTCACCCACCGTGGTGACACTGCCGCCTGACGTCGCGTTGATCTCACCATGCGTGCATGCGTCTCACCTGTTGTCAGCTGCTGCTACCGTCGCCCTGACCTGCTCTTATCACATTTCATGTGAGCTAGCTCCCTCAGTGCATCGCACGAGACATCCTCCCAATACCCCCACCCTCCCACTCCCCCCCCCCCTCAACCATTGGATGGAGCAGGCATAGCGCGTGGCAGTCTGCTGTACTCCATCCGCTCAGTGGCTGTGTCGGAGATGCGCTCCATCCGCCGCCACACACCGCCCTTCGGCTGGCACTACATCATCATCGTCCTCACCTCAGGTCCCCCTCCAACCCCTCCTTGCCTGCCCGCATTCCTCCTACTTCCTCTCCCTGCATCTCTCATATGAGTAGACCCTGCTCATCTCCCCACTGCTGCTCACCTCACCCTGTGCGTGTGTGCGTGTGGGGGGTGCAGGGGTGGCGTTCCCGCCGCTCTACTTCTACGACGGGGGGGTGAAGGAGTTCCTGCACGTGTTGAAGCAGCACGTCATGCTCGAGCGCTCCCTGGATGACCCCAACGTCTACAACGTCAACCAGTCCTTCGACCTCCTGCAGGTGCCCCGCCTTTCCATGCTCCTTCTCTATTCATGCCTGCCGTGCCTTGCCCTGTCCTGCTCTTTCAACTACACACTCATTTCATATAATTTTCCATATCTGTGCCCCCCATTGCCCCACGTGAGCGCCCGCCCATCATGCGATGCGAGGCGAGCAGAGGAGTCTAGCGCGCCTGCATCTGTGGGATCCGCCCTCCACCGACCCCGCCGAACCGCCCGCCTCCGCCAATTTCCGCTCCATGTCGCTCCCCGCCGCCCGCCGCCACGCCCCGCCGTTCCGCCCCTCCGCGCCCCCTGCCGCTGCAGCAGCGGCGGGTGGTGCAGCAGGGAGGGGAGGGGCGGGGGCGGGGGGGAAGTACCGTCTGGGCGAGCGCAGTGCGTCGGCGGTGGGGCCGCTGAGGGCCAGCAGGGCGCTGGGCAGTGTGAGCGAGGACGAGGGGGAGGGGGGCGAGGACGCGGAGGGCGCGGAGGGTGGCAAGGGGAAGGGGACCAAGGCAGTGCGGCGGAACAAGCTGCCCCCGTCGCTTGCCCCTCGCAGCACCGCGGTCACTCCCACCGCTTCTGATGGCGGGGCAGTGGACGCAGAGGAGGGGGGCAAGGAAAGCGAGGGGGGAGGGGAGGGGGGCGAGGAGCAGCAGTACCCGAGTGAAGCAGAGATGCTGCGCATGCTGGAGGCCGCTCATGCCCTGGCGCAGCAGCAGGCCAAGCAGAGGCGAGGGGGGAGGGCGGGGGAAGCAGGGGAGGCGGGGGGCGGGGGAGAGGGAAACGGGGAGCAGCCATCGGAGGCGGAGATGCTGCGCATCCTGGAGGCTGCCAATGAACGCGCCCTGCAGGACGCTGCCCGTGCCAGGGCGCTCTCCCACCAGCAGCAGCACCACCACCACCACCACCGGCACAGCACTCACCGCCAGCAGCCTGCTGACGTGGCAAAGGACATCTCCATGCAGGTGCGGGGCGAGCTGCCTGTGCTGCCAGTGCTGCTCAGATCAGAAACACCCCTGGCCAGTGCATGCATGCTCATGCCTCGCCCGTGCCTGTGCCATCTCCCCTCTCCCCCCGCCCTCCTGCCTCTGTGTTCCCCAGGTGCTGGGGGGTTCTCCGCCGTGACGCGCATGGCGCGTGGCATGCTGGCCGCCGCCCCCGCCGCTATGGGGGAGGCCATGGGCGGGCTGGGAGGCATGGGCGGCATGGGTGGCTATGAGGGGCGGCTGCTGGGCGGCAGGGATGCGGAGGAGCGCATGCCTGCTGCTGACGCATGGGGGGGCGGGTGGGGGGGGGAGGAGGAGGAAGAGGAGGAGGGCGAGAGTGAGGGCAGCCTGAGCCGCCTTACCACCATCAAGGTGCACTTCCTGCTCTTGGGGGAGGGAATGAGGGATGGGGGGAAGAGGGGAGTGCGGAGTCGGGTGTGATGACATGGTGCGATGAGGTTGTGGCACATGTATGCGCTCATCTTCTCCCTGCATCCTCACTGCATCCATGTGTGTGCGCACGTGTGCTTGTGTGCTTGTGTGCAGGGGAGCACGGAGGAGAGCACAGGCGTGGGCGAGTTTGAACTGTTGGACGACTTTCAGGTGACGTTGCATGCCCACATGCCACATGCCACATGCTGCACACCACTTGCATCCTTGCCGGTGCTTCTCCTCCCGCTCTTTGCAATCGTGCGCCCTGCATTACATGTACTTACCTGACATCCAACGCTGCATGCCTCCTCGTGTGCCCATGCCCCCTGCAGGACAATTCCTCCTCCCTCGTGCCGCCTCGCCCTCTCCTGCCACCACTCTCCGCAGACGAGGTCGGTTGTGCGCCCTGCTGCCCTGCTGCCGTGCTGCCGTGCATATCATCTTATCTTATCCCCCTATGCACTCCCATGTGTATGAATTCATCAACGTCCCGCCCTCCCGTGCTCTGAGCCTGTCCCTGCATCTGCTTCCATGCCCCCCTTGCTGCCCTCCTCGCCATCCCACACCCCGCGCCCCACCCACCAGTGGCGGGGGTATCAGGACAGTGAGGGGCGGGTGAGCGAGGCGAACAGGGAGGCGGTGTTGCAGCGCATCTTCTACAGCGGGATGGACCCACAGCTGCGCTCCCAGGTGCCCCCACTGCCATGCTTGCCACTGCCATGGGTGCATCATGCATGTATGCATGGGGTGGGTGGTACCATGGCACATTGCACACCTCCTCTCCACTGTCCGCATGCCGTGCACACATCCCATCTCATTAGCCCCATGCCACACGTTCTCATTCCACTCACCCGTGGCCCCCATGGCCCCCACGCACCCCCATGGAGCGAGCAGGTGTGGCCACGCTTGCTGGGCTATGTGCCGTGGGATGCCAGCCACGCGGAGAGGGAGGAGCTGCGGCAGAGGCAGATCACCGCCTACAACTCGCTACTGCTGCAGTGGCAGGTGGGCTGCACTTGCGCTCACAGTGGCCTTTGTCAGCGTTGCTTGCAAGATGTGGACCATTGGAGTTCAACCACAGTACCCCATCTCTCTTCTCTGCTCCCGCTCTCAACGCTCTGTTCCCTCGCTATGTGCACCATCACTCTCTCTCCCCCCATGCTGCTGCCATGCGGTGCAGAGTATAAGTGAGGAGCAGGCGAGGCGGTTCACCAAGTACAGGGAGAGGTGCAGCCGCATCGACAAGGATGTTGTACGCCCCTCCACCCCTCCATCTCGTGCCCACTTGCGCTTCCAGTTGTTGTGCTCATTAAATGGTCGGCACACCACTTTCAACCTTCTCCTCCGTCGGTTGCACACTCTTCCACTTTTTATGCACCGATTTCCCCTCTTGCCCCGACCTGTCTCCCCAAACTGACCTCTCTCCTCCTGCCACGTCCCATTCACCCTGCACCCTGCACCCTGCCTGCCCCCCCCACCAGGTGCGCACAGACCGGCATCTGCCCTTCTTTGCGGGGGAGGGCAATGAGAATCTGGAGCGGGTGCGCCGCATCCTCATCACCTACGCCTTCTACAACTTCGACCTCGGCTACTGCCAGGTCATTTGCTACCACCCGTGATTTGCTGCCAGGTGCTGCCATGTGCTGCCATGTGCTGCCAGGTGCTGCCAGGTGCTGCCAGGTGCTGCCATGTGCTGCCTTGCCACCCCGGCTATTGCCAGGTGTTGCTACCTGCCTTGTCGGCTACTGCCTGCCCTGCTGCCTTACATGCTCATGCCAGGTGCCTTGCTGCCGTCATCCGTCCATTCTCCTCATCCTCAACCCCTTGCAACTCCCACGTGTGCTGCATAGTTATGCCAGGCATGTGTACATCTTTTTCTCGCTCATGTTCCACCAACCAATTCGTTGCCTCTTCCCCGCCTCCCGTCCCCCTGCCTCCCGTCCCCCTGCCTCCCCTCTCCTCTCCCCCTCAGGGCATGGGAGACCTGTTAGCACCGCTGCTGATGGTGCTGGGGGACGAGGTGGAGGCGTTTTGGGCGTTCACAGCGTACATGGAGACCATGGCGCCCAACTTCCACCGCGACCAGAGCGGCATGCACGCCCAGCTGCAAGCCCTCTCCCAGGTGCATGCACGCCCAGCTCTGTGCTCTCTAAAAGGTGCATGCACAGCACCGGTTGCATGGCTCTCCCCCTTCATCCTCCCCCTCAACCACCGCTTCTTATTCGTTCATTCTCCGGCTGCCAGTGCATGCGGGCCCTCATCCCCCTCTGCTCGCTGCTCCCCTACCCCCCTCCTGCGTGCGCACAGCTCGTGCAGCTGGTGGACCCGCCGCTGTACGAGTACCTGGAGAGTGTGGACTGCCTCAACTTCTTCTTCTGCTTCCGCTGGATCCTCGTGCGCTTCAAGAGGTGCGTCCTCACGTCATGATACAACAGCAGGTACGCCATGCCCACCTGCCCTGCTTGCTGCCTCCCATGCATGCCACATGGAGCACCGGCTCTGCCCACTTGTTCCCCTGGTGTGCCACGTGCGCCGTTATTGCTCTGCTTCGGTGCTGACCTGCTCTGTGCTGCACGGGAGGGTGGCAGGGAGTTTGAGTTCGAGGATACATGCCGGCTGTGGGAGGCGCTGTGGAGCTGCCACCTGTCGCAGCACCTGCACCTCTTCGTTGCTGCCGCCGTGCTTAAACGCCACCGCCGCCGCATCATGGATGAACAGGTGCGGCCGTAGAAGGGGGGAAGAAGAGGGGGCACGGGGGATTGACTATGTGATGGGGAAGTAGAGGATGCCTGTTGGTGTATGGGGTATGAGGGGATGAGTAGTGCATGACATTATTGGATCTGCCTAGGTTGACGGCAGGAGTGTTGTGTGATGGCATGGCAGATGGAGTTTGACTCGCTGCTCAAGTTCGCCAACGACCTCAGCTGCCACATCGACCTGGACGCCGCCCTCAGAGACGCCGAGGCGCTGTGCGTCCTGTCCGGGGAGAGGGGGCAAGCATGCATGCCAGTGCCACCACCACCTCTGGAAGAGATGTTTGAAGGGCCCGAGACAGGAGAAGAGGAAGTGGATGACTGAGTATGCACATTGTTTTGATGCACAACTTGTGAATGTATCTGTATATATGTTGTTTTCTTGATAGTCGAACCTTGCTGTTTTCTTCAAGTTTTGCTAATATATACAAGACAAGGTCGTAATGTTCAAAATATTACTTGAAATCATTTATGAATTGCACAGTGTATGGTTTTATACGCCATCCCAAAAGCAAAAGCAGACGGTACCGTATTTTGGTTTGCTGAACTAAATAACGAGTCGTGGCCGCTGATGTCAGAGGCGGCATATAAATTCGAGGCGAGGTGCTTCGCGAAACTCACTGAACTCCAAGCACTGCAGTCGCGGTGGTGGTGCATCGGTCAGGAGTTTCTAGGCCCACGTGGATGACTCCGAGGTTGATCTCAAGTGACGTTTTGCGGTTGGCCTCCGGGTGTCACTGGAGCTTTTTGGAGGCAGCTGGCGTCATGCCAGCACCAAAGCACATCGACTTCGCCAACTGCCACGGGAGAATCCCTTTCCGCCACGGGTAGCCAGTGCCATGTCGAAGACTTGCTTGTTGAACACTTGGCGCTGATTGGCCGTAGAGGTGGTAGCTGACGCTGACGCTCCTCCTGACAGGAGTCACAGGCTGCCCGACAAGTGAGCCCGAGTGGTGTGTGTTTCATCCGCCAACATCTACACTTCCACGACACCCCGCAGCTGTGACACATCGGCAACATCAAAAGCCAACTCAGCAAGCGCCGAAGCTGAGCGAATGGGGAGCCGCAAAGTCAAACGGGTGGTGAGTGGCGCACACTATGGAACAGCTGGTGACACATGTAGGGGCGGTGATGATGGAGCTCCCACTGTGGTTGGGTTGGGTGAGGCACGGTGCGGTCAACGCAAGTCGACAGCGAGTGTGAGAGGCGATGGAGGAGGGAGGTTGGGGTTGGGGAGTTACGGCGGCGCGACTTGCACTGGGGAGAATGGGATGTGGGATGCTGACGGGACGCCGAAGAGAATGCGAATCTGACTCTGAACCTCGAGCTTCTTTATCCATGTCAACTGTAAAGCGTCCACTGACAAATGTTCCTAGTTATCCTGGACTCGCTACTTCATATTCACAAAAGCCGCTACATAACGCGTCATAGGACATTATTCCGCTCAGTTCACGGATTCCGGTAGTACCCTATTCAACGCTCTGCTTGACTCCGAGGTGCAGCAACATACAACAAGAGACAAACCACCATCTTAATCTCTACCGTAGCCTCTTTTCGGATCTGCATTCATGGGGGCAGCAGCGTGCGAGTATGGAAGGAAAGGAGGGCCGCAGGAGGCGGTGGTGGAGATGGGGCCGTACAAGACGGGTACGGTGCAGTGGCAACGCACGCTCAAGTCGCAGATGCAGGCGTGGCGCGACGACCCGCACTGGCACGACGAGACGCCCACCGTTAGGGTCCGCCACGCTCCCAGCGCCTCGTGGCCCCTCGCTCGCACGTCTTTCATCCCGCGAGGCTCCTTCTCAATCTTCTCTGGTGCTCCCCCTCATGTGCGCATCGTCCCCGTCTCTCCCGTCAGCTCGTGCGCCACTCACTCACTGTCTCCTCCCCCTTCTCCCCCGCGCGCGCACAGGTGTCAGCTCCCAAGGGCGCATTCTGCCAGATCGACTCGGAGGTGACGATGGCGCTGCCGCCCGACGCGGTGTACAACATCCTGTGCGACCCGTGCAACCGGCGCGTGTTCAAGAACATCCGCGCCGTCACGTACCGCCGCGTGTTGGAGGACGACGGCGACCGCCAGCTCGTGGAGGTGGAGCAGTCCGCCGTCGGAAAATTCCTCATCTTCTCCGGCTCCTGCGACGTGCGAATCTTCGTGCGACAGGATCGACTGAAACACACGGTACGTTTCTCTGCAAATCCGTGAGCTCACGCGGAGAGCTCCAGCTAGTTTGTGAGAGTGGTGCATCCTCCTGATCCCTGTGCGCGTACAGTGTTCGATTCCATGCCCAGCGCATGCTAAAATCGTGTATTCCCTCTCGTCGCTCCGCAGATGTCGTTCGCGATCGCGCGGCCGGGCTTTATGCGACGCTTCGAGGGCTCGTGGCAGGTGGACCAGCTGCCCGTGCCGTGCTCGCGACACGTGCAGGCCATGGCCGCCCGGGAGCGCGAAGCTGCGCGTGGTAAGGGCAAAGACACGAAGGGAGATGGGCGGTTCGGATGGATAGGTGGGGAGATGGACAGGGAGGGTGACGTGTTCTTCGACGCCAGTGACGTGTTGCCGGAAGAGGCAGACTCAGAGGAGTGCTGCGCGGATTGCCAGATGCGCATGGCCTCGCGCGTGCGCCTGCAGCAGGTGATTCTGCTCGCCATGCCGCCGCCGCCGCCGTTCGACATGCTGGCGCGCAACAAGACGGCGCACGAGGCGAGAGACATGCTCACGAGCTTCATGGCGGAGGCGCGGCGGCTGAGGGAGGCGCCCTTCCCCATCGCGGACGGCCACACTGCCTTCCCCGACCCCGCACCCGTGCCTGACATGGCCGCGCCCGCTGAGAAGCTGCAGACAGAGGAGTCCTTTCCACCCCCTCCGCCTCTTGTGAGACTGGATTCGCACGAGGAGGGCGAGAGCTCTGGTGAGGATGAGGAAGTAGAAGAGACGGTGCGAGTGGGGGAGCAGGAGAAGCAGCAGGAGGTAGTTGAGAGAGCAGTGGAGGTGGGAGGAGGGCGGGGCGTGGAGCCCCACGAGCTGCACTTGAAGAGGGACAATGGCTTCCGTGCGATCAGAAGTGCTGCCTTCCTGCACAAGGAGGTGCTCAAGAGCCCACTGCCTCGCAAAGAGTGCAACTGGGTGCCTGTGAGGAGGGGAATCAAGTGTTGAGTTCCCCGAAATACTTCACACTTTAGCTTTGTGCCAAATAGGCATTGCCAAGTGGACAAAGAAACGCTGCCCTCAAGGGCTGCTTGGACTTCTGTACATAATTCTATACTGTTATTTGTGATTTCATTGTATGAAGTTGTGGACTTTGCTGTGTTTGAGGAACTGTACAATTAGACACCAGCTCGAAATTGAGACTTGCTGACTTTCCAAGAACAAGCTCTGCGATTGGCAGTCCAGCCTCTTCCTGTCAGGCCGCGTGGCGCCACGCCAGCAAGACCCCACAGGTCAGCAGCATGTCACGCAAGAACGTGCCCATTCTAGCTGAATCCGCGCGCCAGCCCCTGCCGTGCGGGAATGCCCCTCCCCAGCGTTGCATGTTGAGTTGAAATTGCAGCAAGATTGTGTTTCCAGTGGTTCCCTTGTCTTCTATCGCTATGATCGCCTAAAATAGCCATCTAGGTACGACAGAAGGCGAGCAGCTCACGTCCCCTAGCACCAGTCTCTCGAGTTGTTGTGGGCCAGGGAGTCAGAACAGCTTTCGGTTCATCGTGAGTCCCACGTGGTTGAGGCAGCAAGCACCACTCAAGGAAGGCGATCCACGCGCGTCTTTGACTTCGCAAATCTGCACTTGCTGTGTCTTGCGTTCAGAACTAACAGCACGCAGGGCAGGATACGTAACGCGCGCACCATCTCCCACGCAAGCCACAGAATTTGCGATCCGGGAGACATTTTCGGTGAGCGGCCATGGAGGCAGGGGGGACGGGGGAGGGTGGTGACGTGAAGGAAGAACCAGTTGCGGGATTGCCCGCACCCGCCGCACCAACCGAAACTCCCGCCGCGCCAACCGAATCTCTCTCCGAACCTAGCGAAACTCTCGCCGCACCAATAGAAACTCCCGCTGAACCTAGCGAAACTCTTGCCGCACCAACAAAAACTCCCGCCGAACCTAGCGAAACTCCCGCAGAACCATGCGAAACTCTCCCCGAACCTAGCGAATTTCTCGCCGCACCAACAGCAACTCCCGCCGAACCTAGCAATATTCTCGCCGAACCTAGCGAAACTCCCGCCGCCGATGGCGGTGAAGGCACGGACGCTGTGGCAGGCGACGGTGACGTGGAAGAGAAGTTCGAAGACGCGACGAGCGAGGAGCCGGCGGCGCTGGTGATGGACGAAGAGAGCCTGGCGCGGCAGCGGGAGTGGGAGCAGGCGCACCACGCCGCGGAGGCGCAGCGACAGGCGGAGGCGCAGCAGAAGGAGGAGGAGGCGGTGGTGCAGATGGACGGGTACCGCGAGGGGCGCATCTTGTGGCGCGCGGAGCTGGAGCGGCAGATGCGCGCGTGGCGGGACGACCCCGAGTGGCGCGACGAGGCGGCGCAGCTGACGGTGTCGACGCCCAAAGGCACCTTCTGCCAGCTGGACTGCCAGGTAACCCTGGCGCTGCCGCCCGACGCGGTGTACAACACGCTGTGCGACCCGTACAACCGGCGCGTGTTCAAGAACATCAAGGCCGTGAAGCATCGCAAGGTGTTGGAGGACGACGGCGACCGGCAGCTCGTGGAGGTGGAGCAGTCCGCGGCGTGGCGCTTCCTCGTCTTCTCCGGCTCCTTCGACACGCGCCTCCTCGTCACTCAGGACCGCGCGGAACGCACGGTGCGTTGCATGCGCGAGGAGACGTGGGCGGGCGACGGGGAGAGTAGATGGAAAGCGGAGAGGAATTCCATTGTCTTTCACGTTGCCCGGGGCTCTCACGCGTCTGCTGCCGTCTCACGCGCCCTCCCACCCCTTTTCTCCCTCCTTCGCCTCCCGCCCTTCGCCTTCCCCCCATCCCCCGCGCAGATGTCGTTCAAGATCGCGCAGCCGGGGTTCATGCGGCGCTTCGAGGGCTTCTGGCGCGTGGAGCCGCTGCCTGTACCGGGATCCGCGGACATGCGCACGGTGGGGGAGGCGGAGGGGAAGGGCGGAACGGAAACAGCAGAGAAGGGCAAAAGCGCAGCGGAGGGGACAGGGAAGGCAGGAGCAGCGGAAGGGGAAGCTGGGGGGGGGGCGGAGGGCGGCGAGTTTGAGGATGCGCGGGAGGCGTTTGACAGCAGACCCGCTGGGGAGGCAGGCGCTAGTGAGGGGAGCGCAGGTGGAGAGGGCACAAATGGGGAGGGTGCAAGTGAGAGGAAACCTGGACATGGCGCGCGCATGGCGTCGCGCGTGCATCTGCAGCAGGTGGTGCAGCTGGCGCTGTCGCCCCCGCCCCCCCTGGACTACTACGTGCGCGGCATCACAGCCCAGGTGGTGCGCGACATGCTTGGTGACTTCCAGGCCGAGACCAAGCGCGTGCGCTACGGGGGCGCGGATGACGATGGGGAAGGGGATGGGAAGGCAACGCAGGAGGGCGTGGGCGGGCGCATTGCGCGCATGAGTGCTGCTTTCCTGCACCGTGAGGCGCTGGGGGGGAAGAGCGGCAAGGGGAAGGGGATGGGGTGGGGGAAGAAGAACGGTACGAGGTAGCGAGCAGGTGCGGAGTTGTAGGGGCGAAGACATGGATTGCTTGTGGCTGCTGCATGCTGCAATCGTGGCCACTGGTGTTAGTATATGGTTAGTAGAGATGCAGATGCTGCGCTCTGTATATCTTTGTAGCGGGTCAGTTAAGATTCACTGTACGATAATTGTCACATACAGATTATGGATTACAATACCCGTACAAGCTTGGTGGGAGAATCTTCCTGGATGTGAACCAGCCTAGCAGGCAGTACGGTAGTTGGTGTCAGCCAGGCTATGCTGAGGTTCTCCTGTGGTGCTTGCAAGCCATCCACCTCATGGCAGCACAGCAACACAGGCATGCATGCATGCACGGGCTGCCAGTCCCAGGGTTTCATGGCTCGCCCATCATCCATTCCACCTCTCAACTCACGAGTCGCGTTACTCGCCCCCCACCTGCACCTCACGCAGCAACGAACTCCCCAAAGTCATCTGTGTCCTCCCCCGCTGCTGCTGCACTGCCAGCGCCCTCACTGCCTCCAGAGGTTGCAGGCATGACGGACTGGGGCGCGGAGGTGACAGAGGCAGGCGGGTCGTCGGATTGGAACGCCCATGCGATGGAGGGCGAGGGGGCTGCTGGGGGGAAGGAGCGCACAGAGAAGGACGTGGAGGGAGGGGAGGAGGGCGACGCGGAAGGAGGCGAGGAGAGGCGCGCCGGGGGAGGGGGAGGGAGGATGGGGGGGGAGGCGCCTGCGGTGGTAGCAGCTGCGGTTGCATGCGGTGGGGAGGAGTCAGCAGCGGCATGGTCCCCTGAGGCTTGGCGCATGGGAGCAGAGGCGTCAGGGGCAGGGCCTGTGAGGGAGGGCGACTTGAAGGCCACGTTGCCCGGCGTGGTGGGCGACAGCGGCAGCCCTGCTGTGCTTGGCTTCGCCCGTGCCGGCTGCCATGGGGGTGGAGGGAAGGGGAAAGGGGAGGGGATGCACACACAGCAGTGCGTGTAAGCAGAGTGAGCAGCACGGGAGGGACTATCAAGCTGTCCTCCCCATTTTCTCCTTTCAATGACCTGCCATCAACCGCCCTCCAATCCCCTGCACTACCCCTCCTCCTTGCACCACACATCCCCCACTGTACGTCCACCCTCACCCTCAACCGTCACGCCCAATCCTCCATCCCTTCTCCCCCTGTCCCCACCCTTCTCCCCATCTCTCGCGCACCGTTTTGATGTCGAGGTGCAGCTTCTGCCCCTCCTTGAGGCGGTAGTCCGCAGCAGGCCGCGACTCAAACGCCTGTCCCATGCGGCGCGCCTCCTGCTGCTTGTGCACGTACTTGACATGGTCGTACACCGCCGCCTGGAAGTCATACGCCGCCGTGCGCTCCCGGAACCCCAACCCTATGAACGCATGCCTCACCACCGGTGCCGCCGCCGCAGCGGGCTTCCCAGCCTTGCTAGAGGAAGCAGAGGAGGCAGAGGCTGCAGAGGCAGTAGAGGGAGGGGGCGGGGAGGAGTCTTCGATGCGCAGCACGAAGAAGCGGCTGCTGTCGATGACGGCCTCCAGGGGCAGCGGGTGGTTGGGCCGCACGGGCGCGTGCGCGAAGAGGTCCCCTGAGGCGGCGTCCAGCAGGCGGATGCTGCAGTGGTCGCCTCGTGACACCACGCTGATGGCGCCCTCCCACGCCCACCTGTTTATGTCCCACTCGTCCGCCCTGCACGGGGTGGTGGAGGTGGGGAGATGAATGGGGGTGAGGGGGTAAGGGATGAGGAAGGATGGAGAGAAGGTGGGAAGCGTTGGTGGGGGGATGTGGTAGGGCGAATGCTCGCAAGGGTGCGAAGGGGCGACTTGCTTGTCAGATGATTAGGCAATAAAGGGTTGGGGACGTGCGAGGGAAGAGACGGGGCTGGGAGTAAGGATGGTGAAGAGGTAAGAAGACTGGGAGTAAGGATGGTGAAGAGGTAAGAAGACTGGGAGTAAGGATGGTGAAGAGGTAAGAAGACTGGGAGTGAGGGGAACGAGGAGGGTGCGGGGAGTGGGAGTGAGGGGAGGGAGGGGAGTGAGGGAGGGTGCGCGCACCTGTACGACGCTGCTGTCTTGCGTGGGGGAATCTGGTGCCGCCTCGTGGCAATGGGGGATCAGCACCCGCGGGGAGCGCGAGGGAAGGGGACGGGAGGGCAGGGAGGGGAGACGGGACAGGGGAAAGGAGAATGAAGGTGACTTGACGGGACAGGGGGAAAGAGGATGAGGGTGACAAGAAGAGTCAAGGAAGCTGACAGCGTGGAACGCGCGGCATTGTTGACGTGACTCCAAGGCCGCTGTGGCGCGGAGGGGGCAGAAATGGCTACGAACGTGTCCGCACGCTGCGCAGACTATTTCAAGATTCCTCGCTTCGCGCGTCGCACAGCCCGTGGGACGTACTGACATTACGCCATGCGGTGCCGCATGCTCGCGACTCGCCTGAGCGCATAGCCACTGCACGAATCAGAAATGCGCGGAAGCGGGAAGGAGGATGGGTGACGGTGCGCACCTTGTACACGTAGCACTCCTTGAGGTGGAACAGAACCACCTCTGTTTGCTCCACGTCATCCAACTCGTCCACGTCAGCACCGCCGCCTGCGGGCTTCCCGTCTGTCGCATCCGCCACCGCGAGTCGCGCCATGTCGGACTCCACTCCCGCCTCTTCCGCCGGCGATCGCGCGGTGGCACTTCCCGCCTCCGCCATCCCAGATACCTCCGACCCGAACAATCCGAGCTCACTCCGCCAGTTTATTCCCTATCTTCCTGCAAGAATAATATGTTAGATCTTATACAAGTGCTGTAATGGATCGTCCGCGTGCCGAAGCGCTGTATGGAAAGTTGTATGTGTCAGTATAGGTGGCTAGGGGAGACTATCTGAGTGCTGTGCGTGCAACATGCGAATCTTCCAGAAAACTGTTCCCAAGGACTGTTGTGGGAAAATGCCTCTTCGCTAAGGAGCCAGCTCGCCCAATCCCAAGGCAAGAAGCATATTTTCAAATTGTAAGTTAATCCTCAATATATCTTGAAGGGGTCTTATCAGGTTTCGTGCTATTTACATTCCCAACAGCGACAGATTTTCCTTCTACCAGAATTACCTCCGCTGTGCCTGTTGTAGAGTGTACTGATGCACATCATTACTGTCACCATCACTTGAATCACCTGTGATTGCATGTAGATGATCATCTGCATCCACGTGACTCATGTGTACATGTGGTGGTGCCTGCTGCAGCACTGCCCACGCCCCTCCGCCCGTGCCCACTCTGCATGGCGGTACGAGCACGGCATGGAGGGCATAATGCATGGGGGGTGTAAGGCATGTGGGGTGTAAGGCATGGGGGGTGTAAGGCATGGGGGGTGTAAGGCATGGGGGGTGTTGGTGGAAGGCAGGGCTGGGCAAGGAGCAGAGCACTGGAGGAGCAGGGCAAGCAAGCGGTGGCTGACCTGAGGAAGCCGGCAAACATGCGGGCAGCCATGAGGAGAGAGAGGCCGATCCACACACCCTCCACGCCCCACTCGCTCGGTGCATACACCAGCACTGCTGCTGCTGCTGGCGCCAGCGCCATCTGCAACAAGTAAACCAACGGGTCATTAGAGAGGGATTCAACAAGGTTGAATGTGCATTGAGCAGAGAGCATGGGTCCGGGAGCACAAGGCTGGTGATGATGGCAAGACAGTAGCGCACCATGGCGAGGGCAGCGAAGGCGAAGTCGGTGGCGCCGTAGTGCAGCCCGTCAAACACAAACGCCATGCTCGCCAGGGGCTGCATCGCCGCTGCGAACTGCAGTCAGGGAGAGGGGACACAGAGAGGAAAGCTCATGGGAAGCAGTGAGTCGGGAGCGATGGATGGCTGCTTGGTGGTGAAGGGATCCAGTTTGCGGAGGGAACCAGTTTGCGGAGGGAACCAGTTTGCGGAGGGAACCAGTTTGCGGAGGGAACCAGTTTGCGGAGGGAACCAGTTTGCGGAGGGAAAAGAATGGAAATTCTCAGAGGCAAGAAGGCTATGTCTCACCGGCATGAGGGCGACCGCCTGCAGCAGCACACGGTCATCCGAGGTGAAGAGCGCTGGCAGCAGCTGCGCTGACAGCGAGAGCACCACCCCCATCACCGCCCCCATGCCCAGCCCTATCTGCCGGGTACACAAGGGAGGAGGGGATGGGGTTGCACGCGTGAGAGCGGTGGATGAAGTGCCGGAGGGAGGGTGATGGTGGGTGCGAGCAATGAATGAGGTGGTAGAAGGGCGGGGCTATGAATGACAGCGATAGTGTGAGTGAAGAGGCGATGGTGTCACAAGCAAGAAAGAAGGTGCTGGCATTCGCATTGGTATTGGTGCGTGCAGCATGTGGTGCGTGCAGCATGTGGTGCGTGCAGCATGTGGTGTGGTGCGTGCAGCATGTGGTGCGTGCAGCATGTGGTGTGGTGCGTGCAGCATGTGGTGCGTGCAGCATGTGGTGCCTTTCCCCCTAGCCTCTTACCTGCAGCGATCGCAGCATGATGGCTCGCACCATGACCGTGTCGTTGCGTGCAAAGGCTGATGCCAATAGGGTCTGATACACATGGCGCCACACATGCCATCACACATGCCATCACACATGCCATCACACATGCCATCACACATGCCATCACACATGCCATCACACATGCCATCACACATGCCATCACACATGCCATCACACATGCCATCACACATAACATCACACATAACATCACACATGAGCACATAAGCACATGCATGCACATGAGGGAACGCACACAGGAAAAAAAAAACTATTATGTGAGAACAAATGTGTGCACGAAATCAGTCCTCAAATTACAAGATACCCTGAAAAACCACCTGGAAAACCACCTGAGGATCCACCTGGGCGCACCTGAGCAGCGAGGGCAACGGAGTCAGAGAGCAGGGAGGCGGCGAGGCAGAGCTGCAGAGCGAGCTGGTGTGCCGCCATGGGCACCGCCCCCTGCCTCGCCGCCATGCTCGTCCCCACCGCCATCGCCCCCAACAGCGCCACCGTTCGCCCCAGTAGCAGCCCGCCTGCAGGGAGGATGCACGGGGAGAGGGCGCGGTGCAGGGTTGAGAGGGAAGACGCCTGGCAGACGGGGGAAAAGGGAGATGGGGGAGCAGATGCACGAGCACATGCACATGCACATGCACATGCACATCCTGATGCAGATGCTGATGCTGATGCTGATGCTGATGCTGATGCTGACGCAGATGCGCTGATGCAGATGCGCTGCGCTGATGCTGATGCTGATGCGCTGATGCTGATGCGCTGATGCTGATGCGCTGATGCTGATGCGCTGATGCTGATGCGCTGATGCTGATGCGCTGATGCTGATGTGCTGATGCTGATGCGCTGATGCTGATGCACTGATGCTGATGCTGATGCTGATGCGCTGATGCTGATGCGCTGATGATGATGCGCTGATGCTGATGCTGATGCTGATGCGCTGATGCTGATGCACTGATGCTGATGCTGATGCTGATGCGCTGATGCTGATGCGCTGATGCTGATGCGCTGATGCTGATGCTGATGCTAATGCTGATGCGCTGATGCTGATGCGCTGATGCTGATGCGCTGATGCTGATGCGCTGATGCTGATGCGCTGATGCTGATGCGCTGATGCTGATGCTGATGCGCTGATGCTGATGCGCTGATGCTGATGCGCTGATGCTGATGCGCTGATGCGCTGATGCGCTGATGCTGATGCGCTGATGCTGATGCTGATGCTGATGCGCTGATGCTGATGCGCTGATGCTGATGCGCTGATGCTGATGCGCTGATGCTGATGCGCTGATGCTGATGCGCTGATGCTGATGCGCTGATGCTGATGCGCTGATGCTGATGCGCTGATGCTGATGCGCTGATGCTGATGCGCTGATGCTGATGCTGATGCTGATGCGCTGATGCTGATGCGCTGATGCTGATGCGCTGATGCTGATGCGCTGATGCTGATGCGCTGATGCTGATGCGCTGATGCTGATGCGCTGATGCTGATGCGCTGATGCTGATGCGCTGATGCTGATGCGCTGATGCTGATGCGCTGATGCTGATGCGAACGCTGTTGTGAGTGGCAGGGCTCACCGGACGTGAAGAAGCGGTGGAAGGAGAGGAGGGAGAGCGAGGGCGGGATGAGGTGCACTGTGGCACTCAGTCGCAGCAGCAGCCACCCCGCCATGCCGTACTGTGCTGCCACCGTGGCCGCTGCAGCGCCGGACACGCCCAGCCCGCAGGAGAAGATGAGCAGCGGGTCCAGCAGGATGTTCACCACGTTGCCGCTCACTGCAAGCGGGGGAAGGGCAGGTGGAAAGAGCGAAACCAGGGATTGTGGTTTGTTCTCCAAACGCACAGGCTGTGCACGTAGTATCCTCTTCTGCATTCTCCTAATATGCTAATCTCACCTAAAGCCTTCTTCTGATCTCAAGCGCAATTCCAGGTGAAGCTTGGGGCTCACCGGAGGCAGCGAGGGGCGTGCGGGTGTCCTTGAGACCGCGGAAGACGCCCTGCGCCGTGAGGAACAGCACCACCGCGGGCGACCCCGCCGCCCTCACCTGCAGGTACTGCAGCGCGGGCGCATGCATGGGGGATAAGGGCCCCACACCCATCACCCCCAGCAGCGGCGCCGCCGCCACCGCCAGCAGCAGCGCCTCTAATGCGCCGAGCACCACGGCCATGAGCAGCGCCGCTGACACCGACGGCACCACGGGCTTGGACGCGGGCGGGGGGGAGGCGGCAGAGGTAGAGGAGGCGGATGATAGTGAGGGCGAGCTCTGTAGCTGCTGCGGGTGATGTTGCACGTGGCGTTGGTGCGGTGGGTGATTGAGGAGGTGTTGGTGCGGTGGGTGATTGAGGAGGTGTTGGTCCATGGCGACGAAGGACGTGGTGATGTTGAGCAGCGGCACGTTGAGCACCTTGGACACCACGCCCACCACCGCCACCGCCACCCCCACCCCCCCCAGCTCCTCCGCGCCTGCCACGCGCCGCACACGGGGGCAGAGGAGGAGGAGAGCGGTAGAGTCACGGGACCCAGAAAGGATGGGTCAGCATCTACCATGCCATGTCATGCCATACCGTCTAGAATGACAAAAGAGGAAATTATTTGTGGAAAGCATGTCCGATCCCTTATTCTTTGATTAGCTATCTTTCTGCCCCATCGCTGACTAACAACCCGTTTCATTGAAAGAACTGCCCTCACCCATCTGCTCTCACCCATCTGCTCTCACCCATCTGCTCTCACCCATCTGGTCTCACCCATCTGCTCTCACCCATCTGCTCTCACCCATCTGCTCTCACCCATCTGCTCTCACCCATCTGCTCTCACCCATCTGCTCTCACCCATCTGGTCTCACCCATCTGCTCTCACCCATCTGCTCTCACCCATCTGCTCTCACCCATCTGCTCTCACCCATCTGCTCTCACCCATCTGCTCTCACCCATCTGCTCTCACCCATCTGCTCTCACCCATCTGCTCTCACCCATCTGCTCTCACCCATCTGCTCTCACCCATCTGGTCTCACCCATCTGCTCTCACCCATCTGCTCTCACCCATCTGGTCTCACCCATCTGCTCTCACCCATCTGCTCTCACCCATCTGCTCTCACCCATCTGCTCTCACCCATCTGGTCTCACCCATCTGCTCTCACCCATCTGCTCTCACCCATCTGCTCTCACCCATCTGCTCTCACCCATCTGCTCTCACCCATCTGCTCTCACCCATCTGCTCTCACCCATCTGCTCTCACCCATCTGCTCTCACCCATCTGCTCTCACCCATCTGCTCTCACCCATCTGCTCTCACCCATCTGCTCTCACCCATCTGCTCTCACCCATCTGCTCTCACCCATCTGCTCTCACCCATCTGCTCTCACCCATCTGCTCTCACCCATCTGCTCTCACCCATCTGCTCTCACCCATCTGCTCTCACCCATCTGCTCTCACCCATCTGCCCTCACCCATCTGCTCTCACCCATCTGCCCTCACCCATCTGCCCTCACCCATCTGCCCGATGTAGAACGTATCAACGAGCGACGCGACGGGCTCGGCGGCGAGCGCCAGCAGCGCCGGCAGCGCGATCGCCGCCATCTCCACGCCCAGCGCATCCGCGGAGTAGGCGGACCTGCAGCGGGGGGGACGGGCACGCGGGCCTCAAGGGGATTGAGGGTGGGAAGGGGAACGGGCATGAAGATTATTTCCAGTTTCCCTCACTCTCTCCCCCCCTCACAATTTCTCCAACTTCAACCTCTCTCTCCCTCTCACTCACTATCCCTCTACAGTCACACCTACTCTCTCCTCTCCCTCTCACCGTGCGTCGCGCCAGAACAGTATCGCGCCGTCCAAATACGACCCGCCTCCCCTGCTGGTCTCCGCCGCACCACTCCCCACACCATCCCCCAATCCCGCGCGGGGAGCCACGGCGCCGCGATTACCGGAGCGGCAGCGAGGTACTGCCGCGGCGGTGCGAGCATAGTCTGTACCCCAACCAACTCTTCCGCCTGCCAGGCGGTCACACGACGCGCGCAGCGCTATCTTCGACTGGTTGCTGAGAACCCCCCGTCGGCACGCGAATCTGCGAGGGAGGCATGATCCTGCGCGAGTGGAACTCGCCGGGCTCCGCTGCGCTGATTCATAGCGCGCCGATTCAAGGAGCGGCGGAAGCATGGAGAGCGCCCATCCGCACCCATGGATGCTTCCTGCATCCCTGCCAGCCCGCACCGAAGGCACGGCTTCAGCACCTGGTATCATCTGCAAGTCCGATCATACAGATCAGCAAATGCATGAAAAGGTTTCAGTAACCTAACAAGAATATACAAATACAAGATTCTAGCGAGACATCCGTTGTCGTCCAGCCTGGTTAGGATACCTGACTTTCACCCAGGCGACCCGGGTTCAAATCCCGGCAACGGAGTTTTTTGCCGTGGTTTAGGTCTTCATAGATGATAAAGTTAGCTTGTTTTCCATAAAAGGATGGCTGTGCTACTCCTATGCCAATTTTGTAAGTATGGTTATGCCCGGGCATGGCAACGCTGCACAGCCCAACTTGTTAACTCAGCCCCTTCGATTGTATAGTTTGCTTGGCTGCTAACGAGTTGCCGGGGTCCAATTGCAGGAGCGAAGCATTTGCTTGGTAATGCAATTTGCTTCCTTGGATACCTGATTTCATTACAAATCAGCGTCTACAATCTCAATCACCCCCCGTGCATCCACCTTCCACAGCGGTTTACGAGCCACCACCAGGTGCTCTCTGCTGCTGCCCTTCTCTGGTGTGTGGGCCGTCACGTTCCAGTGTGCTGCCCTCGCAGCCCTCTGCACGCCCTCCAGCACGGCCGGCAGGTCTCTTATAATCACTGTGCCTCCTGGTCTCAAAAGCCGGTCCACCTCTATAATCACGTCATCTATATCACATCGGTCCCTGTGGAGTGGCACGGAGGGGGTTGGGGAGAATGACAAAGTAGAAACCTTTCCCATGAAATGAAAGATGTGACACGCTATGTGCTTCGTGCTCCATCTCTTCCCAGCGAACAATGCCTCGCCTCCAACGGCAGCAGAAAGGGCAGCGGGACTCACGGGTGGAAGGAGGAGGAGACGCCTTGCCAATGCACGAGGTCGTATGCGCGTGGGTACGACGAGAACGCCTCACACCAGTCATGCAGGGTGCCCACGAGCCCGCGGTCAAACACGGCTGCCAGGGTGTTGAGTCTACTGCTCAGCGCCACCACGTTCATCACCCACACTCGCTCCTCCCCGTCCTCCTCCCTCCCCTGCAGCGCCGCCGCAAACGACCCCACCCCCGCATTCATGTCCAGCACGTTCCGCACCTTCCCCGGCCTGCTCTCCTCCTTGCTCCTCCCCTTCTCCTCGCTCTTCTCCCCCTTGGCCTCCCCACCGTCCCCCTCAGCGCCCTCGCGGTGCTTCCGCCGGCCCTGGTAGCCCAGCAGGTCGCCCAGGAACAGCGACTCGTAGTGCGCCAGGCGGGTGCCCCAGCGCCGGCTCTCCATGTTCATGCGCTTCTGCCGCGGCGACAGTGCTGCGAGCGCCGTGCCCTGCCGCTTGCTGTACTGCGATGTTGCTGCGTTCATGAGTGACTTCTGCTGCTCCGCCTTCAGCGCCTTGCGCATGTCGCCCTCCTCCCCCTCCTGCCCTGCCGCTGCTCTCTCAGTCCTGTCTGCCTCACTTCCCCCTCCCTCTCCTCCTCCTCCCCCTTCCCCTCCTCCCTCTCCTCCTCCTCCCCCTTCCCCTCCTCCCTCTCCTCCTCCCCCTTCCCCTCCTCCCTCTCCTCCCCCTCCCCCTCCTTCCCCGCCATGAGCAGCACCACCAGCGCCATGCACATCAGAGCTGAGCAGTCGCCGCCCACCAACACCACCAGCAGCCGCAGCGGCAGCAGCAGCAGCAGCAGCAACAGGGGCCTCAGTGCTGTTGCTCTCCCTTACCTGCTCCACAGCCTTATCCCCCCCCTCCTTCAACCCACTTTTCTCCCCCTCTTTCGCCCCGTTTTCCTCGCCCTCTTGCATCTCCCTCTCCCCATCTGCGGACCCCTCACTCTTCATCTCATTCCCTCCTTTCCCACTCCTGCGCTTCCCTCCTTTCCCCCTGCCTTTCCTCCCCGTGCCTTTCCCTCTCCTTCTCACCTTCCCCTTGTCCTTCTCTTCCCCCTTTCCCCCAGCACCCCCCTCCACCGCGTTGGGCGGCGGATCTGTGGGCGGGTGCATGAGGGGGGAGTCGTAGATGCGGGGGGAGGCGAACCACAGGCGATGCGGCCAGGGGGGGAGGCTCCACGCGGAGGGGGGAGGGCGGATGGCGCAAGGCTGCAAGGGGGAGTACCTGAAGGGGGTGGGTTGGGAAGGAGGGCCGAGGAAAAGGAGAAAGCAGATAGGAGTCGTTGAGGAAGGGGGGCTAGTACGGTGGGCGCGGGGCGAGGGTGGAGGTGCAGCGTGCATGATCGCAGTGGGGCGGGTGGGGGGTAGGGCGGCGGCATGGCAGGCAGTGGCAGGCGGTGGCAGCAGGGGCACGCACCACACGGCGTCGGGCTGGTCGTCCGCCGCACACACCTCCGCGCCCATCTCGCCCTCCCCTCCGCCCGCCTCCTCCTCTCGCTTCTCCTCTCCCTCCTCCTCCCGCTTCTCCTCTCCCTCCTCCCGCTTCACCTCTCCCTCCTCCTCGCCTGTTACATCACTCCCTAACTCCTCCCTCTCCGCCCCTCCTTCCTCCCTCTCCCCACCTCCTTCCTCCCTCTCTGCCTCTTCCTCCTCTCTCTCCGCCCCTCCCTCCTTTCTCTCTGCCCCTCCCTCCTGCGAATCCTCTACCTCCTCCCTTTCACTGCCTCCCTCCTTCTCCCTCTCCCCCGTTCCGCCCCCCTCTTGTTCCGCCTCTCTATATTCCTTGGCTCCAGGACACCATCTTCTTTCCCCCCCGCTTCCCCCGCTTCCGCCCGCCACCTCAACCCCCCTGCTCTTCCGCCAGATGGCTACGTGCGGCACCACCAGCACCAGCCGCCAGCACAGCGCGCGCGCCTTATCGCGCAGCGTGCGCCACTCAGCCGCCCTGCCCGGCCAGCGCACGGGCGGCCCCGCCAGCACGAAGAAGCCCCCCGCGCGCAGCACGCGGTCCACCTCGAACAGGTGCGTGCCGTCTGGAGAGAGAGGGGGGGGGGGGATTGAATGGGGGGAGGAGGGGGGGGAATGTGGGGAGGGGAAGGCGGGTGAGGGGAAGGGAATTCAGGGACCCTGCTATTCAAATGAGCAACAAACTTCTCGCGTGCGAGAGCACGAGGGCACTGGATGGGGTGCGCGGGATGCGCGAGAGGCCACGAGAGAGCGCGGGGGTGGCGGCGCACGTACTGGGGAGGCCGAAGGGGACCTGGCAGTGCGAGCAGTGCACGAGGTCGAACGCGAGCGACGGGAACGGCAGGCGCATCGTCGCCAGGATGCCCACCAGCGCGGGCAGCCCGCGCTCGAGCGCAAACTGCGCCTGCCCGCGGAACCCGTCGCGCGGGCCGAGCGACACAGTGATCATGCCCTGGCGCAGCAGCTCCACCGCGAATCCCCCCACCCCCGCGCCGATGTCGAGAGCCGTGCGCAGGCGCGACCCGAACGGAATGAAGTTGCGCAGCTGCGCCACGTACCGCTCCGCGCCGTCCGCTTCGGGCATAGCTGTCAAAGCGTGCGGGAAATGCCATGTGTTGCCACGTAGCTCCATCCACAGGACGTTCCGCGGGTCCTTGAGCATCTTAGAGTGCGGTACGTTGTTCCGCCACACGCTCCATAGGCTATCCGGCCAGGGGGGCGCGCGCTGGTAGCCGGGGGGAGGGGGAATCAGGCAGCGCGGGCGGGCTGAAGGAGGCGGGCAGTGTCGCTCGCGGAAAACGTTGTCTGCGAAGGGAAAGTGGACGGCGATGTTTGGATCGTAGCACGGGATGTGGTGAGTCCAGTTGGACGGACATGGCGGGAAGTATCCGTCTTCTGTGAGCTCTCCGATCGACATCGTCCCAGCCGCCATGGCTGCTGGGTTGCTGCTACTAACCGCCGAAAGCGAGATGAATGAATCATATTGGAAGCGTAAGCGACCGTATGTGGGTGAAGAGACGAGGAAGGAAAGGATGAGGAAGCCGCTAATGCTGGAGAGGGCGACATAGAACGACAGGCGCTTGCTGCGAAGCAGCGAGATGAAAGAAAAGTCTGGTGACTTGGCTGTTCGCATTGCTAGGGCTTGCAGCGCCAGGATTAATCGCCGTAGAATCATCTGGCTGACCTCGGTCGTCGCATCGTATTCCAAGCCTCTAACTGCATCGAGTTGTGCGCCTTATTACGTGTAAATACAGACGCTACTGCGAGAGGTACAGTGTCACAGGACACGGTGCCCACTAAACGTACAGATCTTTCGACGGCGACACGGTAATCGTTATGACCATGAGAGTGGAGCAATTTTTTTAGCTGTGGCCTGGCTTGTGCGTGGGCTCATAATACACGCAGTGCAATATATTCCCCAATTCGCATCCACTTTCTCAGCCGGCTAGTTTTCTCTGGCCCATGCCACTTGTCCTCACAGACCGCCATCTTCGCAGGCGCTTCGCACGTTGCTGTCAGGCCGTGACGTGAATCACCAGCAGCCTCTGAACCAATGCCGTGCCGTGCCTCCCAAAAAATGTCGGCGGGTTCGCCGTGGAAAAATGCTATATAGATATACGCCGATAGAGGCAGCAGATGCATAAATATTTATACCGAGATTGAAAGTGTTCTCTATACAAAATGGTTGATCATCAATATCAAAACTCATCGCTAGCCGTTAGCCAATTTCATTCCTCCCACTCTCCCTAGGTTTCATCAGCACATTGCTGTTGGTACCACCAGTCAATCTGCGTGCCTCTCAGCAGTCATTCAATCCCGTTAGTTGATCCGCCTTTTTTACCTCACCTGCTTAGGCTTTTGAGAACGACTATTCCGAGCCGTCGATTAGGGACGTGGATACAGTATGGTGAGTTTTTGCTGCGGAAAAGTCGAGGTGGTAGATTTCTGATATCTGTAGGGTTGCTTACTTCTCGTAAATGTCGTCCTGGCAGATTCACTTCGTGCTCCTCATTAGCCGGCAAGGGAAGGTCAGGCTGGCAAAATGGTATTCCGCGTACTCTCAAAAGGAACGGACGAAGGTATGCGCATCCCGTCGCGAACCGTCTGCCTACTTGCTCTCGTGGGTGGTTTCCGAGTGAATTCGTGCGTCCCTAGAAGTTATTTGTGAAGCTAATGTATCAAGTCGATGTCCACATGCCAGATCACGCGGGAGCTGTCGGGAACGATACTCAGCAGACCTGCTAAGCTATGTAATTTCGTGGATTGGAGGGGTTACAAGGTCGTTTACAAGCGGTAAGACTCTTCGACTTCGTGAGCTCGCTTATAACTGCAAGGGAAGCTTACGCTAGCCTGATGAAGTCCGCCATAGGTTCCCTTGCAAGCGAAATTTTGCTTGTCTGCTGAAGTCTGCCAAAAGGTCCAAGTGCTTCAGCCAGCTGACGCTCGTGACGCTGGTGTGGTGTGGGTGTGCATTGCAGGTACGCGAGCCTGTACTTCTGCATGTGCGTGGACATCAACGACAACGAGCTTGAGACCCTCGAGATCATCCACCACTACGTCGAGGTGCTCGACCGCTACTTCACCAACGTAAGCGACGTCTTCTCCCGCATTTGCTCCCATGCCTCTGCTTTCTAGTGCTGCCGTTTACCAATTTACTAGCCTCTTATGGCGGCTCTCCACCTGCTGCTGTCATTCTGCAGGTCTGCGAGCTCGATCTCATCTTCAACTTTCACAAGGTGCGCCTATATTGCACTAGTGGCACTGCGACTCAGTTGTTTTGCAGTTTAGGTCAGGAGGCATTATCTTGTTGTTTTCCAACCCAACCTTCCGTCCGATGTGTTTGTGCTCCTTCCAGGCATACTATATACTAGATGAAATCCTCATAGCAGGAGAGCTACAAGAGTCAAGCAAGAAGTCCGTTGCAAGAGTGATAGCGGCTCAGGTAAGCTCCACCCAGTTACGGTACCTGTATTATCTTCACTTGTTGCAACAGCCTTCTCACTGACGCTCCGGTCTGTTTCTCACTCCAGGACACGTTGGTGGAGACAGCAAAGGAGCAGGGTGGTAGTTTGTCCTCCATCATTGCTCAAGCAACACAGTAGCCATGGTTTCCATTCTGTGATTGATACAAACCACCTTCACATGATAGTTTTTTATCCTGTACAGAGTCTTTAACCAGCGATTGTGTTTGTGGAATTTACTTCTAAAAGGTGTGTTCCAAATCCACCCATAACGTGATTGTGGATCTTCCCGCAAAAGGTGTAATTAAAATCGAGTCATGATGTAATGTGACTCATGGAAACCCAAACCCATGAGTAGTGTTCGTGGCGTGTCCTGCACACCATGGTGACATGCATGCCCGAAACGCGTCACCTCGCTGCTGCACTTCATTGCTGAATGTCCGCACATTCATGTTCCTATCTCCCCCCTCGGCCACAGCATATTCTCAGCTCCAGGGCAGTCGAACTCTCCCTAGTACCCTGAGCAAGGCGCGCAGTTGGCGCTGCTGCTCGTTAGGTCGATTTTCCGTCTGTGCGACACCCTGTGTTTCTTGATGCTTTTCTGCTTGTAGAGTCGCGGGTGTGTGCGATCTTTGTGCAGCTTTGCAGTCGGTGCTCTAGATTCCTGGCAGAGTAATCGCAAACACAACGATCATGGGTAGGAGGAACAGAGGAGGAGGCAAGCGAGGGGGGGGCAGCGGCGGAGGAAGCCGGGGAGGCGGGGGCGGGCGGAATGGTGGATCGGCGGGAAGAGGTCGTGGCGGTGCTCCCCACGGCACTGCAAACGACGTCGGAGGAAGACCGAATGATCAAGGAAGATCGGACGGGCGAGGCGGTGCGAACGAGACTGGGGATGGCGGAGCCTCAGGGCGAGGCTTTCGAGGCCGCGGACGCGCCATGGGGGCCGGCCGTGGTCGTGGCCGTGGCATCGGCGCGCAGCCGTCAAATGAAAACCAGAATCCGCGGAGGAATGAGCCTCGGCAGCCGGGCGCTAGCGGCGGCGGTGCAGCGGCAAGCGGACGGGGCATTTACTCTGCGGTGAAATTCGTGTACGAGTATGAAACTGTTCGCGGGGGCGGATATGACACAGGCGACCTTGACGAGGCGAGGGGTTCGGAGCAGAGGGACGTACGGGGGAGGGGTGAGGAGGAGAAAGGAGGAGTTGGAGAGGGACGAGCAGCGCAGGGAGCACGCGGCGGTGCGGAGTGGCGTGGGAGGAAGGCGCGTGGCGTGTGGTTGAGGCTGGCGTGCGGATCCTCGCGAGCTCAAGGTCGGGGGGACGGGAAAGGTCCTACTGGTGGCGGTGGTGCTGGTGTGCATGCAGGAGCAGGCGGGCACAGAGGCCTTGGGTACGGGTCTCACAGGGCAGAGGTATCGAGTGGTGCCGGGACGAGCGAGGGCGCAGCGAGGACGTTCAGGCCGGGCGGAGTGCTGCGAGGGGACGGCGAGGGTGGGGAGCAGGAGGAGAAAAAGGAGCACGCAGGGGTTGGGGACGACGGAACGGACGGGGGGGATGCCAATGAGAGGGGGGTAGAAGGGACGGAGGGGGACGAGGCGATGGTGGTGGAAGAGAAAGTGCAGGGCGGCAAAGGAGGAGGTGATGGGACGACGGCTGTATCAAGTGGCTCACAGGTAGGAGGAAGCAGCAGCGGCGCGGAGAGGGAGGTGGTGGCGCTGCAGCAGCATGTGCCCGTGGTAAGTGAGGAGGAGTGCGTGCGTGCCCTGAGTGAGGTGGGGGAGACAGCTGTGCTGGGGGCAGCAGTGGAAGCAGAGAAGGGCAGGGCGGTGACGGTGCTGCCTGTTTTCTTCGACAGGGGAGGCTCTTCCACTAGTAGCCACGCACCAGCTCAGCCGGGCTTGGATGCAAGCGGTTCTGCTGCTGCTGCTGCTGCTGCTGCTGGCCCCGTGAGCCTGTCTAAGCATGCAGATGCTGGGTCAGGTGCTGCACCAGGTGGTGCTGTAGGAGCGTGCGAGGTGCTGCCTGTGGTGGAAGAGAGGGTAGGGCTCCTACCTGTTTTGGATGACAGGCAAAAGCGCTTGCCGCTGTCCGTAGGAGCAGTGGAAGCAGCGGAAGTGACGTGTCCTGCAGACGTGGCAGTGCGGTTTGAGAGGCTCCACATGGGCGTGGAGGCCATAGGGGCAGACGGGGTGGGTGAGGGGGCGGAGGGAGGGGCGGAGGGCGAGGAGAAGGAGCGGCGAGACAGCAGAGGAGTGCAACAAGGAAGAAGAGGCCAAGGGGGCTCACCAGGCCAGGGAGGCCTAGGGGGTCTAGTGGGTCAGGCGGGTCAAGGGGGTCAAGGGAGTGTAGGACAGCAGTGGGGTGAGGGAGGTTGGCAGCGAGGCAGGGGAAGGGGGCGTGGGGGCAGAGGAAGAGGCAGGGGCGGTGGAGGGAGGAGGGGCAGGGGAGACGAGCAACAAGTGGAGGTGGGGAGCGGGCAGTGGGCGTGGGGCCGGGGGCAGGGCGGAATGCTGGATGGGGGGGTGGAGGACGTGGGGTATGTGACTGTTGGCGGTGTGACTGTATCGACAGGTAGAGGTGTGGGTTGGCGTGGGGGGTATGAAGGGCAGGGGTATGGGGATGGAGGGAGGCAGGGGCGTGGAAGGGTTGGGGGTGGGGCGAGGGGTAGGGGGAGGGGGAGGGGTGGGGAAAGAGGTGGGGGAAGGAGAGGTGGGATGGGAGGTGAGGGAGAGAGTGAGGAGGATGGTGAAAGTGGGGAAGAGAGTGAGGAGGGCAGCGATAGTAGCATCGATGCTGACGTGGCACTGGACTTTATGGGTAACCTGGTGGATGATAGTGATGATGCGAGCATGGGGGAGGGCGAGGCGGACGATACGGATGAGGAAGCGGATAAGGGTGAGGAGGTGGTGGTAATGGAGGGAAGGGTGGCAGAGGAGGAAAAGGTGGAGGAGGAAAAGGTGGAGGAGAAACAAGTGGAGGAGGAACAAGTGGAGGAGGAACAAGTGGAGGTCGAGGAGGAGGCGGCAAAGGAAGAAGTGGGGGAGGAAGAGGCAGAGGAGGTATTCAATGAGGAGGAGGAGGGCGAGGAGGGCGAGGATGAGGAGGTGGAAGAGGGGAACGGGGAAGAAGCAGATGCAGTGGCGGGCGAGGGCGAGAGTGAGAGCGACGGCGAGGGCGAGAGTGAGAGCGACGGCGAGGGCGAAGAAGGCGGAGTGTGGTACGAGGAGGAGCGGCACACTGGGCTGGGGTACTGCGCTGGTGCCTCCGCGCCCTCTCCCGAGGAGTTCTGGAACCACCTCAAACGCGTCAGGGGCTCGAAACAGGGGGGCCAGGCGGGCGACAGAGGAGGATCGAGGGCAGGCGGGGCGGCAGGGCAGGGCGAAATGAGGAAGGGCAGTGAAGCAGGGGGGCTGGATGTTGGCGTGCATGGGGAGGAGGAGGAAGGTGAAGGGGCGGAGGAGGATGCAGACAAGGGCGAAGGGGAGGAGGAAGAAGAGAGTGAAGGGGGGGAGGGGAAAGAGAGTGAGAAGGAGGAGGAAGGGGAGAGCTCGGAGGGTATGGAGGAGGAGTTGGGCGAGGAGTGGGAGAGGGAGCTTGAGGCGGCCTACCAGAGGGAGCTGGCTCGCCGCCAGACAGCCAAGGGCAAGGGCAAGGGCAAGGGCAAGGGTGCCCCCTCTGCTGCTCCTGCTCCCCCCTGCCCCGCCTCTGCTGCTCCTGCTCCCCCCTGCCCCGCCTCTGCTGCTCCTGTTGCACGGGGCACTGCAGCCCCGACACGCGGCAGAGGGCGGGCAGCGAGGGGAGTGGGAGCAGGGAGAGGAGGGGGGGCGGGGAGAGGAGGAGTGGCAGGGAGAGGGAGGGCAGGGCAAGCAGGAGCAGGAAAGGGGGGAGCTGGGGAAGGAGAAGGAGCAGGAGCAGGGGGTGCGGAGGGCAGTAGCGGCAGGGGAGGGATGGGGCGCGGGTCAAAGAAGGCTGCAAGGAAGGCAAAGAGGGCCCTGGCGAAGCAAACCAAGAAGGCGGCAAAAGGTGGGGGGTGCATCAGTGTGTGGGGGATGGGTCAGAGTGTTGCTGGGGGGGAAGGCGATGAGGGAGGAAATAAATTCTGAGACTAGGGGAGGGGGGAAGCAATGGAAGATGGGTCGCTCTGATTGGCCAAGTAGTTGGGCTGCGTGCCTTGAAAGCCCTCTCTTTTACCTGTATCCTCCCCTTTCTCCCCTTCAATTCCTCCCTTCCTCTCCATCCTTCCCCCCCCCTGCTCGCCGCTGGCAGCGGCGGGCAGCAAGAAGGGGCGCAGGAAGCAGGCGAGGGAGCTGAAGCGCATGCAGCGAGCTGTGGGATTCAGCCCCGATGCTGCTGACGTGGACCTCATGCACCTCAACCAGGTGAGCTGCCATGGGGAGTGCGCCTGCCTAGAATCAACCTGACGCTGCTGCGCACAGTGTGTCGGGTCGTACCCTGTCTCTAGGCATCTAGTTTCCAACTCTTCCCACTTGCGCCCTGGGCCTGCCCTTGCCGTGTTCGTGAGCAGGGCATGCAGCAGGTGGCGGTGGGCCGTGTGGACGTCTTTGCGTCGCCTCCATTGACACAGCACCAGTTCTCCATGGTGCGTTGCTCATCACCTGCACCACCAGACAGCAAGGGTCACATGTTCATGTTTGCGTGTGTGCACATGTGCATGCCAGCACTGTAAGGATGGCGTTATGCTAGTATTTTATGCATACATGGTTGGTTGCTTGCATGCAGTCATCTCACAAATGTCCATCCACCATCTCCTCCGTTCACATCCCGCAGGTACAAGGCATGGCGCGCTCATATCGCCTGACCGCCACGGTGCAGCAGAGTGGCAAGAGAAAGTATGTGCAACTGCCTTTTTCTCTCCGTTCACTCCCTCTTCACTGCTTGCTCATCGCCTCCTTCGCCTCGCCTTGCATGCTTGTGTCTCATGCCTGCTTCCTCCCCTCCACCTCTCTCCCAGCACCTCTTCTCACGACCTTTATTCTCTCTCTTTGTGCCCCTCTCCATGATGCCTTGCACATGTTTGGCTTTTTTCGTCTTGCCCTTCAGGATGCTGCTCTTTCGGTCTGGGCGGCACACAGCAGTGCCACAGGGAGATGACATGACTCGATTGGAAGAGGTCTGCTGCTCATTCTGAGGGCCTCTTGTTGGCAGTTTGTTGGGCCTTGCTGGGCACTGCTGTTTTCCTACCCTATGTTCGCTGCATCCCTTGCGTGTTTTCCCAATTCTCTCTGGAACCACGACTGCCACCTCTGCGCCTCCCTTTCGTCCCTGCCTTCCAGATTCTCGGGCGCTTCAACCTTGCAAGAGCCGCTGCCGCAGAGTGTGGTGATGCGAGCAGCGGGCCGGGGCAGCGGGGGGTGAGGAGGAAGGGTGGGGACTACAGAGAGCGGCGGCTGGCTCAGTACATGGATGACATGGATGTGGAGCGAGGAATCGCTGAGATGGAGGAGATGATGCTCATGATGGGTGATGATGATGACAGTGATGAGAACGAGGATGAGGAGGAGTCGGAGGAGGAGGAGGAGGAGGAGGAGGAGGAGGAGGAGGAGGAGGAGGAGGATGAAGATGATGAGAGTGGGGAGGAGGATAGCGAAGAGAGTGAAGAGAGTGATGGGAGCGAGGAGGATGGGGAGATTGATGGGAGTGCTGAGAGTGAGGAGGGTGGGGAGGGTGAGGGAAGCAGTGAGGAGGAAGATGCGTTTCTGGAGTTGGAGGAGGAGGAGTGGCTTGTGCCGGGTGAAGCGAGTCGTGTGTCACGCAAGCAGCGGAGGGCGCAGGCCCAGGCGCGGCTGATGCAGGCACTGGGGGAGCGCTTGCAGAGGGACAAAGCAGCACAGAAGAAGGCGCTGCGGGAGAAGGCGCAGGAGGGGAAGGGGGGGGAGGGGAAGGGAGAGAGGGCTTAGCGGAGAGGAGGAGACTCTGTGGCGGAGGAAGGGCGGAGGGCTGGTGCAAGCTGGGGGGGGGAAGGGGAGGCGGGGTGTGCGGGAGGGGAGAGCGGGAAGTGGTTCAGGGAGGCAGGGGTATGCATCGAACCCTGTGGTGTTTGTGTCACGGGGTATCATGGCCACCGATGTGCTTGTAACAGACGGGGGCGACCAGGAGGTGACTGAGGTGAGCGTGACTGTACAGAACGTGCAGCAGTCGGGCTCAGAAGCAGAGGAGGTTTTGGGGGTTCTGATGAGTGAGGAAGGTGCAGAAACGGGTGTGGGTGCGTCCTCTGGTGCGAGCCCTACAGGCAGTGTGGCGGGTGTCACAACAAACGCAGCGGATGCTGCCGCTGCAGCCAGTGTAGGGGCCTCTGTTGCCTTGCAGGGACAGGTCGCTGGTGTGGCCATTGGTCAGGAGAGAAGGACTCTTCAGAGCAAAGGTGGGGCAAAGAGTGGCAGGCAGGGTAACGGAGAGGCAAGAGGAGGCCGACGAGGGCAAGGTGGCAGCGGTAGCAGAGGGAGGAGAGAAAGGGGAGGAAGGGAAGAAGGTAGGGTTGACAGGAGCAGTGTGGGTGGCTGTGGTGTGGCAGCGGATTTTGCAAGTTTTGAGGCGCACACGAGGGGGTTTGGGTCGCGCATGATGGCACAAATGGGTTTCCGCATTGGCTCTGGCCTTGGGAAGGACAAGCAGGGCATTTCCGAGCCTGTGCAAGCTGAACTACGACCCAAGGGTCTTGGACTTGGAGCGCGTATATAGCAGAGCTGGATAGTTTGTGGCTTATCATTGTATGTATAAGGTTGTATTTTTTTCCCCTTTTTTCTTTCCATGCAACGAGGCTGATTCTGAGAGCGTCGCGCGAGGTCTAGTTTGGACTCGGTTGCTTCTCCGGTGTTTCCTGGCTCGCCAGTTGTGAGGCTCAGCCCCTCGTTCCTTGCATCCTATTGGTCACACGGTCCTACTGGTCAAGTCTTCAGTCGCAAGCGCCTACGCGCCTCGCTGTTCTATCGGCCAATATCATAGATACTCAAAGTATTCGCGAGCGGGTTCTCAGGTGTAATCACCAACAGAAACACAGTTTCGTGATATAGTAGTAAGTTCTTCTTGTTGTGTTCTGAATACAGTCACTACAGAGAATGCAGCACCTGAAAAAAAAACCTTGTAGCGAACCTAGATGAATTTCGAGACAGATCAACCCTAACTACGGGAAGCCGCCCACTTCAGGAGAAATATATTGCACTTTCTTGACCCTTTAAATAACACTTAATCGGAATGGGATGCGACTCGGGAGGCATCAACCCTAAAAATAATGCCCTTTCCCGTGTTTAGGGTTGATCCCTCCCGAAAATTCGTCCAGATTCTATATGGGTTTAGTTGTTCTGCCCCGTCGTAAATTTACGTACTTTAATTTAACAAATCCAGGTCGGGAGGGTAAACTATATAGTTTTGTTTTTGTCACTTTTTAAATATTTCGACCAGCGTAAAAAATGTGACTAAACAGCGACGACCAATCAAGTTGAGAATTTCCAGGTTGATTACACCTGAGATTCCGCTCGGGACTAATCTGAGTATGTATGAAGTTGGCCGCTGTTCCATCTATGCGACGAACAAAAGCGATCGTTTTCCTACGCCAGCGCATGCCGAGCATGCGATGCGACACAATTTGGCAAGATTGGGGAAGGGTAGCTTCTCTCTCCCCCGTCCTGCGAGGATTGGTGGGGGAAGGGCGCTCACGGACTTTTTCCGCCAGCCATCCCTTGGGAAAAGGATTGAATGGCATATGATACCAGTTCCTGCCCGTTCTGAAGGGTGACCAGCCTTGGAGTTTGACGGGACAAAACACGACCCACGCAGCTCCGACCATATTTTACACTTCCGCGTCTCCATGTTCCTCATGGTGGGCTTAGCGTTTAGCGTTTCCAGGATATTCATCTGTGAACTGGATAAGTTACCCAGAAGAAGTTAGGCTGCTCATCAGCCAACACAGCCACCGAAATTCCCAAGGCGAGCCAGCCATCGCTGAGCAACCCTCGTTCTCGCTCACCACAACTCTCTCCTGCTGCCAGCATTTCCTGGTTGCTTGTTCCCTGCACGTCAGTCGCCTGACGCGTCTCGCGTTGTGGCGAAAGACTGATTCTCGTTAGTCGCGGTATGTGTTTATGAAAGGTAGTGATTCAGGTGACTTATTAGAAGTCAGGAATGCTTCATCAGGCGATGTAGTGAGGTGTTCAAAATGCTGCTCGTTTCAGTCCGGTATCACTCGAGAGCAGGAACTGCTTCGAATTTCCGATCACTCGTTGAAAGTCCGTTTTGACTTTTCAACACACATGATTCACTGGATTCGTACCCTGGCTACCAGTTGGAGCAGAGCCCGACAATCTAATGCCATAATGTAGAGGCGTATCATTAGCCGAAGCCTTTTTTTTCAGCTGATAGTTGTTCGGTCTGCTTGTAGTAAGACTGTTCGTATTCTTTATCGAGTCACTCGCATGTCCGCGCATAATCAATGGTGTTAATCCAACATCTCCCGTGGCCACGGTCGCCGAGATCTCAACCTTCACGGTTTCGCATGGCCCCCGCAGTATTTGTTCACCTAACCATTCTGACTGCGATCGTAACCGCTATAATCACCGCTATCCCAACAGGTGAGCCCCTCGTTTCCGGAGACCAGAGTGGTTGGCCGGGCTTGACAAGCAGAGCAGGGATAAAGACACTCGCCTGTACCGAATTCCCAGCCTACTTGGCCTTGCCTTCACCTGCTGCTGTTTTCCGCCACACTTTTCGTTCCCCTTACCCTCATTGCATCCGTGTCTGGTACTTGATCGTTATCCCCTCTCCGCTCACCCCCCTCCATTCTCCAGCCGCTATTCGTCTCCCCGTCACTCGACCGGCAAATCGCAGCCCGTATTCGAGCCGTGACGTACACATTCAGGATGACGATGACGATGACGATGACGATGACAGCGACGGAGCAGAGCACCCGAGTCAGGAATCTCCTCTGCCGGAAGCCGAAGAGAGCGAGATTGACAGTGTGGATGAGGAGGATGACCCAGGGGACTCGGAGCAGTTGGACGGCGCTGCGCCGATTAACCGCACCAACGCCGACCCCGGACACGCGGACGACGAGTCAGAGGACGGGGAAAGCGGAAATTCCCCATCGCCTCCGTCTGCGCCTTCGCCTCCGCCAGTGGTGTGCGCGGGGGCGTGCTCGCAGCGGGAGTGGGAGGCGCTGAGTCCGAGCGCGACGGAGGGGCGGTGCGCGTGCGTGCACCCCGCGGAGCTGGCGGTGCGGCTGTCCAACGCCACGGCCGTGGAGATGCACTTCGCATCCTTCGTCCACGTACGTTGCTTCCATGCCGCTTGCCATGTGACGCTTGCCATGTGACGCTTGCCATGTGACAGTCCCCATCTGACAGTCGCCATCTGACAGTCGCCATCTGACAGTCGCCATCTGACAGTCGCCATCTGACAGTCGCCATCTGACAGTCGCCATCTGACAGTCGCCATCTGACAGTCGCCATCTGACAGTCGCCATCTGACAGTCGCCATCTGACAGTCGCCATCTGACAGTCGCCATCTGACAGTCGCCATCTGACGGTCGCCATCTGACGGTCGCCATCTGACGGTCGCCATCTAACGGTCGCCATCTGACGGTCGCCATCTGACGGTCGCCATCTGACGGTCGCCATCTAACGGTCGCCGTGTCACGGTCGTCTGTTGGCGATTGTTGCATAGCACATGCATGTAACACTCATTCGCTCACCCGCCTGCCTTCTCACGCCTCCCCGCGCCCCCCTCTCTCGCCCGCGTGTCAGGACCTGGCGGAGCAGCTGCGCCTGCCCGAGTCGTGCATCCTGCGCCGCTCCCTATCCCGCACCGACCACACCGCCGCCATTGTCACTCTGCTGCTCCTCCCGCGCTATCAGCCCACCTTCCCCAGAAGCTTCCTGGCGCAGGTCGACTCACGGATGAGGCGGCACGAGATACACCTGGATGCCAGGCTGTACGGGGAGTACTCGCTTGTGGCCCTCACTCAGCTGTTGCCGCCCCTTGCGCCTCCCTCCCTGCCCACGCCGTCGCCACCGCCCGTTCCGGCCCCACCAGCCCCAGGCAACAGCGGCAGCAGCAGCGGTGGCGGTGGTGGTGGTGGCTACACCACCAGCAATGCCAGTGGTAACAGCAATGTCGTTGACAGTGCGAGTGGCAGCAGCAGCAGCAGCAGCAGCAGCAGCAACAGCACGAGCAGCCAAGGAGGAAGCAGCCCTAGCCCGGGGGGGGTAGGCAATTACAGTGGCTCCAGTAGCAATAGCCTTGGCTCTGGCACTGCCACGGGAGGGGTGGGCGCACAGGCAGGCGGAAACAGTGCAGGGGAGAACAGTGCAGGGGAGGGGATGAGCGTGAACATGGTAGTGCTGCTGGTGGTGGGTGCGGTGGCAGTAACTGCAGTGGGCGTGGGTGGCCTGCTCTACTGCACTTGGATGCCTCGCCGCACCGTTGATCCAAGTACGTCACATGCAATGTGCCCATTGATCCAAGTACGTCACATGCAATGTGCCCGTTGATCCAAGTACGTCACATGCAATGTGCCCGTTGATCCAAGTACGTCACATGCAATGTGCCCGCATGCACTTGCTATCCCCTGCATGGTCTTGTCTGGAGACTCAACTCCTTCCTGTGCTATAACTGTGCTTTCCATGCTGCTTGTATGTCCAGAATCCCACGCACGCCCATCTCTCCCCCTCTCCCACTCCCCGTCCTCACATGTGCAGCAGAGCCAGAGGTGCTGATCAAGGGCAAGGGGTCAAGCAGCGACCTGCAGCACCCAATCCATCCTGCACATTCGGATGAGGATGGGGATGCCTATGCAAATTGCTGTCTCGCGTCAAGCACAGCTGGATTCACGGCAGGGGCAGCAGGGGCGTACAGTAAGATGGGTGCACGCGATGACGGAGCGGACACAAGGGCAGAGCCTGGAGACGAGTGTGTGCGTGCTGCTGTATCCGCGGCTGCACTGCCCGCTGCAGGGCTGGGTTGCGGGCGGGGCAGCGAGGGCAACAGCGATGGGGGAGTTGCAGGGGGCAGCGGAAAGGGAGGATTGGGTGGGCTGTCCGGGGTGAGGGAGTTCTCCCTCCAAGAAATGGCTCTCGCCACCAACAAGTACCACTCCTTTGCTTCTCATCTCCTTCCTCTCTCCCATTCTCTCTCTCCTATTCGCCCTCTCATCCTGGCCTGACCAAACTTCTCCCTCTAATCATTCACTCCTCAAACCCCCCACCCCCTCCACTCCACTCCATCTCTTCCTCCCTTTCGCCTCCCCCTTCTCCTGTCCCTCCCCGTCCCTCCTGCAGCTTCCACGAGTCGTCAGTCCTGGGCGAGGGCGGCTTCGGGCGAGTCTACCGCGGCAACATACCCCCCCAACCGCACTCCACCTCCTCCTCCCCCCCTGCTGCTCCTATCGAAGTGGCAATAAAGAGGATGGACCGGGGCGGGCGGCAGGGCGACAGGGAGTTCCTAGTGGAGGTGGAAGTTCTGTCACGCTTGCACCACCGCCACTTAGTTAAGCTTCTCGGCTACTGTGTAGCACCGGGCGAGCACATGCTGTGCTACGAGCTGCTGCCGAACGGCAGTCTGCACTCGTGGCTGCACGGGCCGCACTCCCACCACGCCTTCCTCGACTGGCCCGCGCGGGTCAGCATAGCAGTGGGCGCGGCGAGGGGGCTGGCGTATCTACACGAGGGGTCGCAGCCAGCGGTGATTCACCGCGACTTAAAGCCGTCCAACATCCTGCTGGATGCGCGCATGAGCCCCAAGCTCGCTGACTTTGGGCTCGCCAAGGCGGCGCCGCAGGGGGCGGATGAGCACGTGTCCACCCGCGTCATGGGCACCTTTGGGTGAGTGGCGGGTCGGCTGTGGTTGAATCTTGCACATGATCGATGGAAGCAAGTCCCAACGTCTGGCCGTCTTCTGATCAACACCATTTTTCATGCTAACCCTCCTCGTCACCCTCCTCCCTTTTCTGTCCCCCCTCCTCCACCCACCCCCTCCGCCCTCACCCACCCGTTCCCCCCATGCAGGTACGTGGCGCCGGAGTACGCAATGACGGGGCATCTGATGGTGCCCAGCGACGTGTACAGCTTTGGGGTGGTGCTGCTGGAGCTGCTGTCGGGCCGCAAGGCCGTTGACACCTCGAGGCCACTCGGCCAGGAAAGCCTCGTGCTCTGGGTGAGTCATGCCGGTGCACTGTGTGCTCTGGGTGAGTCCTGCCGGTGCACTGTGTGCTCTGGGTGAGTCCTGCCGGTGCACTGTGTGCTCTGGGTGAGTCCTGCCGGTGCACTGTGTGCTCTGGGTGAGTCCTGCCGGTGCACTGTGTGCTCTGGGTGAGTCCTGCCGGTGCACTGTGTGCTCTGGGTGAGTCCTGCCGGTGCACTGTGTGCTCTGGGTGAGTCCTGCCGGTGCACTGTGTGCTCAGGGCGAGTGTTTGTTACTTCTCCTGTTGCATCGCAGCTGTTAACATTCTCATCCAGTAGATATTCTCCTCTCTTCCCCTCAAAATCCTCACCCTACCTCTTCCTTGTCCCCCTCTCCCTCTATCTATTGCTCCCGATCCCACTTCTCTTCCCTCAATCCGCCCTGTGCCCTGCCCCATGATCACTGCAGGCGCGTCCACTGCTCTCAAAGCCCTCCCGCTACAGCCACCTGCTGGACCCGCGCCTGCTCGCCTGCCCTTCACCGCCCCCTCCTGCTGCGCTGCACACTGTCGCCACACTCGCCAATGCCTGCGTCCACAGCGACCCCGCCGCCCGCCCCTCCATGAGCACTGTCGTCGAGCTGCTGCGCCGCGCACAACAGACAAGCAACGCCGACCAGAAGCAACCGTCCTTTGCGTCTCTGCTGTCACTGGATACACTGTGCATGGCATCGCCTTGTTTGCAAGAGCAGGGCGGCTCCCTCATGCCACCTGATTCCAACCCCGATTCCTCCTTGGGACCCCACAGCCCCAGGTGTGACTCCAGTGCACCCACCCTGCCTGCACTCGCCACCACCCCACCTGGTAGCGCCAGCACCTCGCCCTGCTTCCCCCCAGGGTCCTCTCTCATGGATAGCTCGCAGGTCACTCGCAGCAGGAGCAGCAGAGACAGCAGACGAGATCAATCTGCTGCCAGCAGTCGGCGCAGCAATGGGAATGGCAACCCCTCTGTTGCCAGAAGTAGGAGCAGCCGAAGCAGCAGAAATAGCGGAACCAGAGCGTGTCTCCTCCCGCCTGCTGGGTCTCAGCTTCCGCCTCGAGCTCACTGTGACTTGGGGAGGAGACAGCACAGAGACACAGGAACAATGCTGGATGGAGCAGTGATATCTGATCCGGATTTGGAGGACACTGCCACATCGGCACCAATGCATGCAATGCTGGAGGTTGATGGTGACGTGCACCCTGCAAGCAGTGCACAAAATGGGGTCCTGGCTGGAGCACCATTGGCACAATCCCCAGCCGTGACTGGTGCTGTGTCTGCAGCTGAATTGTCCGCTGCTGGCTCATGCACCATGCGTGCAGCTCCACAGGAAAGTCCTGCCAGTGTGATTGAGTCAGGGCTGCACTTCTCCCCTTTCTTCCATGACCAATTAACCCCCGGTGAGCCCTCGCGATTCAGTCCCAGCTTGAGTGCTGCAGCCTGTGAAGCCAGCTCTCAGGCTGTGGTGGCGAGGGACACGGATGGGCAAGTCGAAGGGGGTCAACCATTCTCCATGTCACGCGCGGCAGGGGCTGTGCAGCCTACGCTATTGTCGAGAGGAGGGATTGGAGCGCCAGGAGAAAATTCCTGGCAGATGCTGCCGCCAGCAGTTGTGACGAGCACTCCAGTGTTTAGGTTGTCAGATTGTGTAGGGAATGAACAGGAACACACGGAGAATATGGTTAGGATAAATAAAACAAACAATGGGTCGAACCTGCAACATAATTTGCTGTATAAGGGTGATAGCTAGGTTGCAATTTCTTGAAAGCTGTCTTCCAGTAGAAAAGGTATTAGAAGGATGTTATTGTAATTGGAAGGAAAACGTTGGCAACCTAGATAGACATGACAGATAGTGAGTTGCTCGTTTACCAGATTTCTTGCCAGAGGTATGTTGTTATCTCGGTGAATCAACGAAGCTGGGCGACAGTCACTGGGCGAGTGAGCGATGCTCGCCTGGTTACCGCAGGTGGCTCACCACCTCATCTCGGCTCACCACGGCCGCACCACCTACAATTCCTTTGGAGAGCTCTGGGTTTGGCTCCTAGTGCTCGTCCCTACTATTTAGGTGCCTCTCATGACCTCAGCTGTTTAACTCTAGGCCTGCGCCATTGCCTGACTACAATACCTTGGCAGACTTCATCCTGACGCTTGCGATCTTTCGTTCATGCTTGTTCTTGTTTCGTTTTTTCAACGACCAAGTGCTGTGAGTTTGTTGTGTGTGCTCAGGCGAAGGGTTCCCCGCATAGACATCAAGCGTTCCAGAATACAACCTCATGACAAGTACGTGGGCTGTACCCTGAACTCCCCGTTCTTCCTCCTTACCCGCTTGGCGAGGCGTTGCTTGCCTGGCCTTTCGATGCCTGGGAAGTGTCATTTGTCGAGCGGAGATCGGAATAGCCCGTGCTTTAAACCAATTAGTGCACCCTTCCCGTGTGCTCTTGTTGACCTGTCGTCCGGGACATTTCCTTCCGATAGCTATGGCGGCTTCTTCGTGGTCTTTCCTTAGTGGACCTTGTTGGTAGCACCCGTGTTTGTACTGCAAAGGTTGTGATTGCTCGATTACTCACCCCTCGTGGTTACCTATCTCTGCAGGGCCGCGTGCTTATTCAAGACGTGGGCTGGGCGAAGCTGTTCGCAACGACTTACCCTTCAAGGTTTGCAATGCGTAGTCTTGTGTAAGCGTAATGTGGTTGAAGTGTTGCCGATGTATTGCCAGATGTATGTAATCTCGTATAAGATTTACTCAATACAATTTTGCAGAAGGACATGGACAATTCACAAGTACCCATGGGTCAACATCAATGTCTATTACCATGCAGTGACTACAAAATGATTGTATTGGAATGTGGATAGTGCATAGAAGCAATTCTCGTCGCCATTCTATTCCGCGAGGGTCGGCGGAATCCAGCAGTACCCCTGAGTGCGGCGGTACCCCACGCGCTCCGCCAGCTCGTCCGCGTGGTCGGGGCCCCGGCTGCCTTGTTTGTAAGGGAGCGGGGGGAGGGCGCCCTGATCGATGCGGTGCAGCAGCGGCGTGAAGATCTCCCACGCCGCCTGTGAGGGGAGGCACGGGAGAGGGTCACAGAGGTGGGAGGGATGGCCGAGGACAAAGGGTGCACCTATGCAGCCTTCCTGCCAGACGTACAGCAAATGAGGCCAAACTTTTAAACGTGTGAAGAGGATTTGAGTCTGAGTATCCTCCCTGAGATCGCCATACCTTGAGCTCGTCTCGGCGCACAAAGTGCTGCTGGTCGCCATTGATGCTGCAAGGGGATGCATGGGGGAGGGGGAAACACATGCCAAACACGGGAAGGTGGGCTCAGCAAAACAGCCAACCACGAGCGTGCGATGGCCGACACGACACGGCAGGTAGACACCACACAGGAGTGCATGAACGATAGCAGCATGGCCTGTGTGTGCTGACCTGTCGAGGATGAGGCGCTCGTAGGCCTCGGGGATGACCACTCCTGAGTAGCGCTGGCTGTAGCTCAGATCCAACTCACTCATCGTCGCTGCCATCTCCAACCCCGGCTTCTTCACCTGCCACCATGCCATGCACCATGCAGCACACCATGCCATGCACCGTGCAGCACACCATACCAGTCACCATACTGTGAGTCCCATCTCATCGTAGACTTTGAATTTGCACCATCCTAGCAAAATCATGTGATAAACAGCCGCCCCTCTCACACACACCTCTTCCCTCACACGTTCGTTAACTCACCGTGAGCTTCATGTACATGGCTTCTGATGGCTGCAGGCGCATCACAAACTCGTCCCGCGAGTTCCGCCCACCTGCAACACCACCGTTGCAAGGGACGGGAGGCGCGAGCAGGGAGGAACAGAGGCATAAGACAACTCTACACTGATCGAGCTGTGGAGAATAAGGACGAAATGAAGAGCATGCGGACAAGTGCAAGCGAGCTCACAGCCAAAGATGTCGCCCGGCACGTCATGGAACTGCACTCGGATCTCCGCCTTGCGTGACTCCAACGCCTTGCCCGCCTTCATTATGAACGGCACCCCTGCTCACCCCATAGGCGGTAATGGATTGGTGGCGAGGGAAGACAGTAAGTGAGAGTGCATGGCTCAAACGTGGCAATGGTACAAGGTCCGCCCACACATCCCACAGGACTAGCCAGAGTGCACAGTGCGCACTGCACGGAATCCCGGCGCACCACACATCCCCAACCTCCCTCTCACCATCCCAGCGCTCGTTCTTGATGCGCAGCACAAGCGACGCGAAGGTGGGCGTGTGGGAGCCATCTGGCACGGTGGGGTCATCGGTGTAGCCGTCGTACTGCCCCAGCACCACCTCGTCCTCCCTGATGGGCTGTATGGCTCGCAGCACCTTCACCTTCTCGTCCCGAATGTCCTCTGGCTGCACTGACACCGGCTTCTCCATTGCTACGAGACACAGCACCTGGGTGGCGAGAGGGGGGGAGGGGTTGAGAGGGGGTGCATTGCATGCAGTGAGGCTGGCAGCACCTTCACCTTCTCGTCACGAATGTCCTCCGGCAGTACCGACACCGGCTTCTCCATCGCCACGAGGCACAGCACCAGGGGGAAGAGGGGGGGAAGAGGGCAGGAGGAGTTGGTATCGTAAGGGAGTAAAGGAAGGCTGATAGAAGAAGCACCGAAATTGGCTTCCCGAGTGGAAAAAGGGGCGGCAGGTGAGAATGGCATGCGATGGAGAGGGCAAGAGGGGCGGCGCACCTGCATGAGATGGTTCTGAATGATGTCCCGAATGATGCTGCACAAGGGGAAGGAGGAGCGAGGGGATGGAAACGACAGAAGCGCAGAGTCAGATATCAGAAGCACCACATGGCTGCAATGACAAGAAGCAGTGAGAGGAGCAATTAAAATGGCAAGAAGCAGTGGGAGGCCGCGAGTGAGAGGGCAGAGGAGAGGCAGGGGGGGGGGGGACGGCACACCCACCCATACTGGTCAAAGTAGCCTCCGCGGCCCTCCGTGCCAAAGTCCTCCCTGAACACAATCTGCAGTGGCAAGGGGGAGATAGGCAAGTAGGTGGTGGTGGTAAGGCAAGCAACGAGTGTGGGGAAGGGTGGAACGTGAAGGCAAGGGCGAGTGGTGGGGGGAGCGAAGAGGAGTGGCGCCAATGAGGTGCACGCACAAGTCACAGCTGACACGCATACCACGTGTCACGTGCGTGCACCCACCACCCACCTGCACGTTGGCGACATTTTCTCGGTTCCACAGCGGCACGAAGAAGCGATTGGCAAAGCGCATCACCAACTGGTTGGTGGGAGGGGAAGGAGGGAGCAAGGGAAGCGTAAGAGGGAAGGGCAGAGACGAACAGCACAAGACATAACCATGTGCCTGGGAGAAGAAGTAATGGCACATGGCAGCTGCATGCACACAATACATGCTGCACTCTCTCCCCTTCCACATCCAACCATATACCCCACGTCCTCCCACCCCACATCCCTCCCCTTCCCCCCTCCTCCTTCCACCCCCTTCCCCCCTCTCCCCCCCATGGAGCGCACCAGGTTATGCACGACCTCCTTGCCCAGGTAGTGGTCGATGCGGTAGATCTGCTCCTCGCTGAACAGCGCCCCCAGCTCGGCCCCCCACAACCCTCCCCCCTTCCCCCTTTTCCCCCTCCCCCTTCCCCTATGAGCGCACCAGGTTCTGGACGACCTCCTTCCCCAGGTAGTGGTCGATGCGGTAGATCTGCTCCTCGCTGAACAGCGCCCCCAGCTCGCCGCTCAGCGCCTCCGCGCTCGCCAGGTCGCGCCCAAACGGCTTCTCCACGATGACGCGCGTCCACCCGCGTGCATTCATGCAGTACCGCCGCACCTCCGCGCACACCGGCGGGTACACCGACGGCGGCAGCGCCAGATAGAACAGCCGCCTCGTCGCCCCGCTGCTGCTGTCACTGGTGGTGCCAGTGGTACTGTCGCTGGTGGTGGCGGTGGGAGCGGTGGTGTTTTCGAATGCGAGCATGGCCTCCTGCAGCTTGGCGTAGCCGTCCCGGCCGTCGTAGGGGCCGTGGATGTACTCCACCTGGGGACGCAGCGGCAAGGGGGGGAGAGAAAGAGGGGAGAGAGGAGCGGAGACGGTTGGGTGGGGAAAGAGAAAGATTAACGGGAGGGGGAGAAAGATGGGGGCAAGGAGGCGGCGGGGATGCGGAAGGACCATACCGATTCACAAATGGAGGTGCATGCAACGTGGCATGGTGCAGAATTTGGGGCACTCTGCGGTGCAGGGCGGTGTAGGGCGGTGTAGGGCATTGCACGGCGTTGCACGGCGGTGCAGGGCTTGGGACACTCACCACGCTGAGGAAATCTGCAACGGGGTCCTGGGCGGGGGCCGTGTCGCCCTTGGGCTTGAGGTAGCTGTGGGGGAGGGGAGCAGGTGAGGTGAGACACACACACAGCAGCACGCGGCACTCTTAAATCCAGCATTGTGACAGCATGTCTCGCGAGCACGTGGCATGCAAGGACGCACCGCGGCAACATAGCAGCAACTACCCTCCCGTGGATATAACCATTCTCCTCGACCATCCCCCTCACCCCTTGATTTTCTCGCGCAGCTGCTCCGCCGTCATCGGCGAGCGCGCGTATCCGAAGATGCGGATCTCTCCAGCGGGGAGAAAGCCCTGCGCCGACCGGGGGAGGAGATGGGGGAAAAAGGTGTGTGGGGAGCGGGGGGGGGTTGGTTGGGGGGGTGGGTTGTGTGGGAGAGATAAGAATCCGTGAGGCGACCAAAAGCGGGAGAGACGCGGCGGAAAAACGCGTGGCGCAGAGGAAAGCGCGTCGAAAACGGAAGCACTATTTACGCGCGCACATGCTGGAAGAGATTAAAGAGCGCGGGGAACGTCTTCTTCTTCGCCAAGTCGCCCGACGCGCCGAAGATGACGATGGAGAGCGGCCCTTCCGCGGTGGCGGCGGCGGCGGCGGAGGTCGGCTTATGCGGGCTCAGCGTCATGCCTGGGATGGCTGGCGCGACCTCCCCGCCCGCGCACGGTGACGCCGCCTTGCTCGGACTAGCTGTAAGAGGCGGAGCAGCAGCCATCGGTGCGCAGTGCGATATATAGACGAGGTTGTACGAGGCGAGAGCAGAGGAAAGCACGAAGCGCGGAGGATTGCAGCTGGCAAGAAGAGCAAACGGAAAGACGAGTGTGGAATCCGTGAAATGCGGTTCAAGTCAAAATGTGTGGGCTCAGGGCCAACAACAGACAGGCGGTGAGGGGGGGCGCAAATTCCACACTCCCGTCCCGCCTGCCTGGCAGCGCGCGCCAGGCGATGACGCTTCGCTGGGAACTTCGAGGGCAGCGAGAAGCGACGAGGAAGGGCACGCGATGAATGTTCTCGGTTCCCTCCAACAGTGCAGGCCAGACGCGTTACAGCGCTCACCACCAGGTTGAAGATCTAATTCATGAATATATATTCCCTGACATGGAATCACAATAGCTACCATGCAACTAAAAGAACTCAGCCAAAGGCTACTAGCGTTTGAGCTTACCTTAACTACCGTCTAACTTGTTTAATCGGCTTCACAAATGAGAGAATCTATATGCAGCTGACCGATACACATCGGCATGTGCCGCGATGGAAGCTGCACACAAATAAAAAAACAAAAGGTCAAGCAAATGAAACCATTTCAATCCAATCAGCACTGAAACTACCACTCCCTGCAGCAAAAAAAACTCTCACCATCAGGAGGTCGTGAATAGCCGCCCCCCATGGTGATGACCAACGGCACGTGGTTGTCGATACAAGCACTGTATACCATGTTGTTCCTCCGCAGCATGCCAGCCCTTGTCATTGCAAGCCTGCCAAAACTGTCCTCTTTAAGAGCATCCACCCCTGCCTGCATAACACACAGGGCACAAAAAAAAAAAAAAAAAAAAACCAACATAGTGAAGCCCACTGGCAACGAATCTCATCTTCGGATACATGAACCATAACCAGCCACAACTCTCCCACCCATCCACCAAGCCTGTTCCTGTTGCCTAACCTGGAACATGACGAGGCTCGGCCGGTGGTGCTCAAACAGCTTCGGAAGCCACTGTTCGAGCAGGGAGAGGTAAGCAGCATCCCCCGTGTCGTCGGGCAGCTCCACATCGTAGTCGGAGCGGCGCTTGGAGCGCCACGGGTAGTTGTTGGCGCCGTGCATTGAGAATGTCACCACTCGTGGGTCGCCCTCGAATATGCTCGCCGTGCCGTTGCCCTGCCAAGGGGGGGTGCAAAGGCAGGGTGGTGCAAGAGGATAGACAGGCGCGAGAGGGCAGGCCTCAGGACGATTCATTGAGGGGTCTTAAGGGCGGTCACGAGGATGAGTCACGAAACGAGAGAGGCACTGAGGGACGAGGAGGAACGGGGAGTGCGGTGGTGGAAACTGAGGAAGAGGGGGGGCGTCGAAGCAAGAGAAAGAGAGGAGAGTGGTGTGGCGCTCCACACACACACGGCTGTGCATGCTGCTGCTGAAGGTGGCGGTGTGCACCTGGTGCACGTCGAGATCAAGGGCCAGGATGGGCCGGTCGGCATTGCAGACGGTGGGGTGGTGCGTGAGTGCTGCCAGCGCTGCCACTGCTATGTCGTTGAACACACCTGACAGGGGGATTGGGGCGGACGAGAGGGGAGAAGGAGAGGAATGGGGAGAGAAGAGGCAGTATAGAAAAAGAGATAGATAAGGGAAAGGAGAGGAGAGAGGCGGATGGTGGAAGAATATAGAAGGTGGGACAGTCAAGGAGTGGTGCCAGCATTCCCATTCCCCCTCCTCCCTCACTTACCAGGCACACCGACCAACTTCCATACTCTCCTCCCCAACATCATCAACTCCCATATCCCCTCCCCATGACAACCCCCACTCACTCACAGAAGCCCTCCCCGTGCCCCCGGAACGCATGGTGTGTGCCGCCCGCCAGCACCCCCGCCGCCCGCCTGAGCCCCATCAGCACCGCGTGGGTGGCTGCTACAGTGCCGCTGGCGGGGAAGAGGGAACGAGCGGGTGGTGGTTGGGATGAATTTGAGTCACACTGTGAGAGCGAGAGGTATTTTTCAAAGCAGATGGGTGGAGGAAGCTGGATAGAAGGCGAGTGGAGGCGAATGGAACGGGCATTGCCAACTTCCCCAGGCCCACACGAGAGTGACACACACATGATCATCGCCTCATAGAATCCCCACACTGCCACAGCCTGCATACCCGCACGAGGCCTGTGAGCGCAGCAGCAGGTGCGGCGACCAGGGGAAGCCCAGCACTCGCTGCTCCTGCTCTGAGAGCGCGTGTGTGAATAGCCGCGTCAAGTAGCTGGGGGGTGGGACGGTGGTTGGGAGGATAAAGGAGGGGGGAGATGCAGAGATGGGGTTAGGGAAAAGAGAGGAGGATGGAGGCCACAGAGTGCATTAGCAACCCACGTACAGGCAGTCACACACGCCCATACGCTCCTCCCTGCACATGACCCACTCGCTGCCTCCCTCTAGACACCTACCCCTCCCACACACCTACCCCTCCCACACACCTACCCCTCCCACACACCTACCCCTCCCACACACCTACCCCTCCCACACACCTACCCCTCCCACACACCTACCCCTCCCACACACCTACCCCTCCCACACACCTACCCCTCCCACACACCTACCCCTCCCACACACCTACCCCTCCCACACACCTACCCCCTCCCACACCACCTACCCCTCCTCATGCACCTGCTGAAGCTCCACCCATGAGACAAGAGGTGCAGGATGGACGGCCAGGATACGATCTAGAGATGCATCTGACTGCAGGAGAAGGCGAGTGCTGCGGTATCTGCCAAACACACAATCAGGCACAATCAGGCACAATCAGGCACAATCAGGCACAATCAGGCACAATCAGGCACAATCAGGCACAATCAGGCACAATCAGGCACAATCAGGCACAATCAGGCACAATCAGGCACAATCAGGCACAATCAGGCACAATCAGGCACAATCAGGCACGATCAGGCACAATCAGGCACAATCAGGCACAATCAGGCACAATCAGGCACAATCAGGCACAATCAGGCACAATCAGGCACAATCAGGCACAATCAGGCACAATCAGGCACAATCAGGCACAATCAGGCACAATCAGGCACAATCAGGCACAATCAGGCACAATCAGGCACAATCAGGCACACATCACACAGGGATGGGCGAATGGCAGTCAGGGAATGGGCGTGAGTGACCACCACGCATGCCGGACCTCTGACCGCCCGCCACACTCTCCCACTCTCTCGCTCGCTCGCTCGCTTGCCACGTTGTCGAATTATCCTCTATACAAGCACGTCTTTCCAACGAACATCATTCCTGGCGACTCGAGACGCGGAGCGCACTTGTCCATGGGGAAGCGGTGGCCGGCGGGCAGGGGCACCACGTGGTGGTCCGCGTAGAACGCCAGCAGACCCTTCCCGCGCCCCGCTGCCACCGCCGCCTCCCTCGTGCTCCCTGCGCTCGCCACGTCACCGTCATGTTCCGCCACATCAGCATCGGCCCTCGCCACGTCCACCGCTTCAGCACTGGCTCTCGGCAGATCAGCGCCAGCGCTGGTGGTAGCAGAAGCAGCGCGTCGGGAGTAACGCCGCTCAGAGCATCTCGCGCTGACGTCAGCCATATGAATTCCACGTGTGCTACGACCTAGGAAGAGAGCAGGGAACAGGCTCTGCGATTCGCAACGTATTTGTCTGAGCGGACCTGTCGGATTATATTCTGCCAGTACGGGCGATCGCACATGAGGTGGTAGCAGCGACGGCAGGATCATGGATGGAACAGACGACGACGGAGACGGAAAAAGCTGTTGGGACGTTTTCTGTGAATCCCCCCATTGCTGCCAGGAAGTGCTAAGGCACGCACCTAGTTTGCTCGGACTGGCACTACTGGATTCTCCGAATTGGTGGCATATGCGGTTGCGACTCGCGATTTGACGAGGATTGGCGATCTGACGACGGCAACGGATATAGCGGTGAAGTGCGGTGGAGGTACGGGCGACAGTGCATGGCAAGACGCGGCGAGAGGATAGACACGCTGAAGCCATGGCGTCATGGGGAAGTGTGAGGATGGATGGAAGAGAATTTGACAGGACAAAGAACCGAGGGGGAAATGTGCAACGAAGCGTCAAATCACTGCGAGCACCAGCAGTAGCGGGGGAATGTGCTGTTCTCGCGGCCTTGGCATGACATGTTGCTGTGAGGACGCGTAGTACTGAAGGAGGCAACATGGACTAAGGTGGACAAAGCTGCATGCTCCTCTCTGATGTAGTTCGCCTAGGCTACTCCAGTGAAGTGTCCACTTGATGACATTCATGAATTCAAAACATAAGGTTCAGTCAATGCAAAAGACAAGAGACACATGATACAGTCTGCCAAGCAACACACAGACTAGGCAGTGCCTAAAGTGCCTTCCTAGGAGCCTGGAACATAAACTGACAGACACAGAGCAGGGAGAGGCAGGGCACGGAGCAGCAACAGCATGCACACAGCGGGCCTTCACCCTCTGCGGCAAAAAAACAGCGAGAAGCCGTCAGAGCAAGCTGCACCGCAACACCTGCCTCCCCCACTGCTTAAGCTGCCAGCTATCCCTGGCAAAAAAGGTTAGACACTGCAGACATCAAAGAGAGGAAAACAAAAGCGAAGAGAGCAGAAGAGCGGAACAAGAGCAGACGCCCTTGCAAAGAAAGCTCTGGCAGAGCAAAGGACATGGTGGCCGAATCCCCACTGGGTGCAACGGGCAGAGCAAAGAAACCACTGCCTCCAGCACCACCACCATCACCGCGGCAACACTTGCAGTCTTTGAATGTGCGCGGGTGCCACTCTGTACACATGTCACGCCAAGAAGGCAGCAGAGGCACCAAGGTTGAACGCCCACACATCAATCAGCTCCTTCAAGTCCCATCCAGCCGCATCACCAGCAGCAGGTATGGCAGCGGCACCAGCAGCAGCAGCATGAGCGTTCCAGGAAGCGCCAGGCGCCATGAGGTCATACACAGGGCTGAACCCAAACAGCATACGCGCGGGCGCACTCGACATCTGCTCCAGAAACGCGTCAGGGCGCTGGGAGGTGCTCCTGGGGAGAGGGACAGCTGCAACTGACGCCGCAGCAGCACAGGAGAAGGACGCGTTCACAGCGCGCGGAGGGAGGGGCGCCAGGGCTGACGCAGGGGCTGCGATGAGGTCGGTGCTAGGCGAAGCAGCAGCAGCGGGCGCGGAGGACGCGCCAGCAGCAACGAGCTTCTCGAGAGCCATCACCTCGTCGTGCAGCTGCAGCAGCAGCGACATGTCCGCTGCTCCATCCATTGCCATCACCTCCCCCTGCCTCTGCACCTGCTGCACCTGCTGCTCCTGTTGCTTCTCGACCTCCCCCACTGCGCCGTCCGCCCTTGTCTCCTTCCCATGTACCTCCGGCGCCGTGGCGTGCGCGTGGCCCTGCGCGTACAGGTACGCCAGCAGCATGTCGTCGTCGCTCTCCGTCTCCTCCGACGATCCCGGCACCAACTGCTGCAGACTCACGCCGGAGTCCGCGGGGACAGAGCCCGCGGATGACGGCACGACGGCGGACGGCCCGCGCTCCGGCGCGGAGAGGAAAGTCGGACGGCGAGGGGGGGCGGACGAGGGGCGGGACGAGGCGTCGAGCAGGGGAGCGGAGGGAGCAGCAGCGGAGGCGGGCTCGACGGAGACGTCCGATTTGGACGAAGCGGGGCTGGCCGCCGCTGCGCTGGCGACTGGATGCTTCGCGAAGCCAGACGCGTCGCCGGCGAGTTTGCGCAGAATCATGTTCACCACCGCGTCTGCTGCGCTCTGCTGGCCCGCGCCGGAATTGGAAGCTGCGGACTGAGCCTGCTGATGGCTGACGTGGCTGGCGGGAAATCTGCCATGAGAATACGAATGAAGAGTTTGTCAGGAACCAATACGAAAGGGCACAAGAAAGCGACTGAAAGACTGAGCCTGTGCTTACGAAGTAGGGTTGACGGACGACGTGGCGTTGACGAACTGCATCGTGGCTTGGCTCACGGCGTTCGCTGATTGGCCGATCGTGACGAGCAGCTGCTGCAGTTGCTGCTGCTGCTGCTGGACGGACAGCACGCCGTGAGATGCGCTGAGAGGAGACGAGGGATCTGAAACAGCCGGAGAGCGCTGCGCGTCGACGAGGTTCGGCATCCACACGGAGCCGCCGCCATTTGCGGCTTGATCTTTAACACTGCGGAATTGTGGACCAATACACATGTAACCAAACCTCGATCAGATCACGAGCGGAAGGGAGCGAGCTGAAGTAAACACCGCAAATTGGAAAAAAAAGACAAGAAAAAAAGGAAAAAAGGAAGAACGAATAGATTCTTTTCGTACGTGGTGAGAGCGGACTGAAGGACAGCAGGCTTCGAAAGCGAAGGCGCTCCGGCGCGCTTGGAGATTACGCGAGACGAGGCGTTCACGCGGAGAGCGATTTCCGTGGAAGAGAGGGATGCGGGAGCGTGAAGCATCGACGAGGCCACCGTCGCCGAGGGGCTTTGAGGCTGGGAGTTGACGTTGATGTAAGGAAAGATGGTCTGCAGGTTCTGACCCTTGGCTCGAGCCTGGAAGAATTTCCTGCGGGGCGACGGCGCGAGTTGATGATACGTCTATGCTCACAGGATGAACGAATCGTCGGATTTGGAAAGATCCTAATGGTCAAATTACCTCTTCAGAAGAATAAATCGGTTACAACACGCCTTCTGATCGCGGTGAGGCAAGGTTGAGCTGGATTGAAGAGAGCCCCAATGCTTGGTGCCGTAGCGAGCTACGTGCTGCAGAAGAATTACGTCTTCCTGCACGGAAACAAAAATCGAATAGCAGATTCGAGTTTATTTTAGTGAGTTTGGCAAGCGGAAACGAGCACCAAGTACGTTAACGAGGAAAAATGAGCTTCGGAAACTCTGCAGATTCATAGAAATCTACCTCTGGAGTCCAGAGCGATCCTACTTGACGCGTATCTGCCATGGTCGAAGAGACGGTCCTTGCGAATTAATTCGGCAAAGCTAGAAGGTAGTAACGAGCGAGATGGTGAGCTACGAGAGAGCTGGAGGAAAGAGCGGTGAACCGCTCTAAAAAAAAGCTGGGTAACGAAATGAAGTGGGGAACGGGTTTGTTATAGCAGCTCGAGGATTGTTTGTGCTAGGAAGATTTGGGTGTCTGGGATGGAAGCTGATGAACGGATGGCGGAAGGAGATCAGGCGGGGGGAGGGGAAGGAGGGGAGGAGGAGGGGGGAGGAAGGGGCGGGGAAGAGGGTTCGGGGTTGGGCTGGACTCTGCGAGATGGAGAAGATGGAGAAAAATCCTGGGTTAGTCCGAGGCGTCGGGAAAAACCAGGGTGTAAGTTCGACAGTATCGGGCCTGGCGAGGAAAATGATTCCAGTGGATGTTGATTTGGTTCGGACGAGCGTTCAGGTATCGAAGATGCGCGCGTTGAGTGCGAAGTTCCACGCTTTTAAACTGCGATGGGGGGCACGGACTCGTTTCAATAGGGGTTAGCTTCCTTTGGTTGGCCCAACCCCACCTCAGAGAGTCATCTCCAACAGGTCGGCGCGAAAGTTGCTGACACGACGACGAAAAGGTGAGAGCACGCGTGACTGGCCCGCAAACTCCAACCAGCGGTGGTTGCGCACGAGGGTGGAGGAGGAAGGTGATGGCTCCGCGATGGTGTGGTGTCGGCGCAAAAGTCTAGGGGAGCCAGGGGCTGAACGTGGATAGCGGGTGGGGAAGATGCTCCGCTGACCTGTGTCGCTGATTTGAAACGGACATTTGCATCGCGGCTCGCATGAGAGGCATCGAGCGCAAAGACAGATGTCAACCAGGGGACTCACGCAAGCCCATGTCACCAGGTCAACATGCAATCCAATCCTCCACAGAACCGTCGGGGATGACGTCATCCGGAATGGTCGGTTAAAAATACATGTTATTTTTCTATTAAAGAGGTTGTGGTCCTTCAAAATAGGCCCCTCCACCCCCCCACCTTCTCCTCCCATAAAGCACACCCCTACCCCCTCCCACCCTTCCCCCACCACGCCCCCCATTTCGGCCCTAACCAAAAAAAAAAAAAAAAAAGCTTAAACAAGACAATGGATGCATCCAGGTTGAAGTGGGTCATGTGGTGCACCCTGATCCCATCAAACCAACCACTTGAAGAGTGGATGTGTCAACGAACTCAGCCAGCCGCAAACAACGTGTCACGTCGGTTCGAGACTTCCTAGGATTCCCCTCCAAAACGCGTGCTTGGTCGAGGTTGCGCCACGGAGCCGAAAAGGACAAAACTGGCAGCCTATCTTGCAAATCCATGAGATTGGAAACGAAACGCTTTTTGGCTTCGGATGCACCTCACGACGAATCTGGCAGGACCTCTTTCCACAAGTGGGAGACCCAACCGTCCACAAACTTGGAGCACTGGATTGGTAGAGAATTTAGGCAATCACCCGAGCCAACGTCTCTATTAGAGGTTTCACCTGGAACCAGCATATACAAATCGTCCGTAGTGCACTGCTTCGATTCATAACGTACACATTATCTCAGAATTCCAGCAGGGTCAGATTCTAACAGAACTAGCAATCATACCGTAAGATAAGAGCCTACGTCTTCGTTGAGTAAAACAATAGCACTATGTATTCATACAAATCCTTGGTTCCTTGCGCTCCTCACTCCCATTCACCCCAATCCTGCAAGCCAAGTCCACACAAAGCGCCAAAGGGAACTAGGAAGATTTTCACCAATTGGCATGCACACAGCATGGATAGGCATATAATGAACAAACCCAGTGTGTACCTTCAACAACCACAGGATGCATCCTTCGTGCCCACTCACAACCCCCCCTTGCTCAATGCATGTTCCACAAAGACAACTCATCTCTGGCTTACCTCATCCTCCTCTTCAACTCCACCTTCCTTCTTGCCCTTCCCTCCCCTCGCCTCTGCCTCATTCTTTTTCTCGTTTCCTTCTTCCTTCGCCCCTTCGCCGTCCGCACTTGTTTTATTTGAACCGCTGGCAACTGTAGGCTCAGCAGCAGGCTGGGAGACCAGAGCTGCAGGTTCTGACACGTCAGAAGCAGGAGCGGCAGCCGCCTCAGCTGCTGTAGTAAGAGCAGCAGCAGAGGGTTGTGATGCCTTCAATCCGTCCTCCTTAGAAGCATCATCTTTAGACACAACTTGCCACTCACTGCCTGCTGAGCTGTCACTGCTGTTGCTGCGATTACTTGGTTCTGCAGGGAACATAGACAAGGAAAAGACGAGATGTGAAAAATACACAAATATGCCCACCGTGTGACACTGTATTGTGCACCCCATGGGACGCAACCAGTAAATGGCATCAGGAGAGCAGCTGTGGTGCAGGAAGAGGTCCCGATTCTCCATGCTTACCCGTTGCCTTTCTCTCGCTGCAATCTCAAACGCAGCCTGCACAGTTGTCGCATCAAATTCATCGTTGTCCCCGTTGTGGCCGGCCCCAAACAGCACATGCATGCATACAGCACCGACGCAACCACGAGGAACCAATTAAACACCTCCACTATCAGCTGCAGCCTGCCAGCAGACACTTCCTGGCGGCCTTGCACGCGCAAGAAACAACACAGCCCACCCAGCGACGCTAGAGACACCAACCTGGATGTCGGATAGAGGCAGTGCCGTGTCTTCCAGCCCGGCATCCTCCAGGCGAGGGACCTTCACCTCCGATAGAGGCACACTCCCTACCAGACGCGTGCACACAGGAGCCGATTACCATTGAAATTACAGAATAAGTTTGTACAAGTCGTCGTAGGGTAGCACCTGATAACACCACGCTCAGAAGCATCCCCAACCTCACAAAGATCCCACACGATAATAAGCCAGTTTACCAAGCTGAGTCACGGGTGAATGAGTGGACAGGATCGTTTCTTTAGTCACCTGGTTGCGGCGATGTCGCAGCTGGACTTGATGCATCTCTCTCCTTCTCGCCCTCCCCTGCTCCTGCATCTTTTGCTTCCCCAATCCTCTGTGCCCGCTTCTCCATCCCTGCACACCGAAGCCAAGCACAACACTATGAGCCCAATAACCAAAGGACAGCACGTGTTATTTCAAGAGAAGTAGCTAATCTGAGATCATCTGATAAACCATCCTTGTTAATAGCTGATTCACTTCCAGCACTTGCAGTAGCATCCTCACCAGCAGCTGCTTCTTCCTCCGCTGGGACCTTTGCCGTTGCCTCCTCTGGTATATCAGAAGGCGAGGCATCAGCAGGGCCATTGCCATCAACAGCAGCAGCAGCACCAGCACCAGCATCATCAGCCGCAGTGACTCCAGCAGCAGCAGCTGCATCCGCATCAGCAGCTTCACTTTTACCCGCAGCGCCATGGTGGGCGGCTGCAGGGCTGCTCTGAGCGTCATCTGCATCATCGTCCACATCCCAGCTCAGGTCCTCCTCCTCTGATGTTGTCGCCCCTGCAGAAACGCGGGACAGGAGAGCAAGACAGTGGGAACATGGCAGAGGGTGATTCAATGGCTGCTCGTTGTCCACATCCCAGCTCAGGTCCTCCTGTTATGACATCGTCGCCCATGCAGCCACGTGAGGGCAGGGGAGCAAGACAGTGAGCATATGTGAGCAGCCTGCATCTCGAGTCACCGGAAGAAGCATGACAGAGGGTATGCCAGGCCAGATGAAGTGTTCTACATAACACGGGGTGCTGGAAGCATGGAGCAAGCTGCGGCACGAAGGAGGCTCACTCTTGACAAGGTCGGCGCGGGCGTCCTCGGCCTGTTGCAGGCGGTAGAGGCGGTAGAAGTAGCGCGTCCAGAAGGTCTCGCGCTCCACGATCAACGGCACTGCCGTGTGCCATACGGGGGAGCAGGAGGACTGGGGATTTGACACAGGGAGAGGGAGATTACAGGCACGATAGACGCCACATGAAGAACAAGTGAGTAGGGCATGCAGTGAATGTCATGACTCACCAATGCGTGACTGCAGCTCCTGCATGAATGCATTGTCCTTAAGCACTGCCTCCACGTCCGCCTCCCTGGTGCACCCCACACACACACGTGGAACATCCAGCAGAAACGTCAGAACCACACAATACACAAAAGACTTGCAATGTCATGCCTTGTTTCAACGGCTCATCGCCTCTGAGGGCATGGAGACCCAAAAGAACAACTTAAACGGTGAGCTGAAGCAGAGCGGAAAGAGAAAAAGACATCACATGAAGGGCTAGCTGGGTGCGTGGGTGAGTGAGTGAATGCACACCTGTTTTTGAGGTCGAAAGATTCGACCCACTTGGCAAAGTCATCTGTGTCCTCTGGCTCGTCACAGTACGTGCTGCTGTCCCTCTGCATGGCGCTCACCTGCACGCACGGCACAGAGGGATGATGAGGGGCGAAGAGGGGTGGATGGTTGAAAAAGAGTGAGCGGGTTCAAGGAGAGGAAGAGGGAGAGGAAGATGACTAAACAAGACGACGAGCTGGGTCCAGTGAGAAGAGGCACAGAGTATGGTTAGCAAAGGGCAGGTGAGAATAGATTAATTCCGAGCCAAGAGAGTTGAAGGGTGCAGCTGAGTGCTCACAAGTGCTTCGTAGCGGCTGTACTTGCTGCTTCCATTGGCCATACAGAACGCAACGGAAGGACGAAGACCAGTTGCCATGCACACGGGCAAGTGGGTAGAGTGAGGAGAGGTGACATCATGAGAATACAAGTCTGCGGGCTGATGCAACTGGCAGGCAGAAAGCAGCAAAACAAGGGAGCGCTGCGCCCATCAAGGTAGTCAATCCAACGAGCACATTCTTACTTTCACGTAGACTTCTCCCCCCTCTACCTCACTCCCTTCCCGAATTTCACCCCCCTCACATCCCCCCCCCCTCCCTCCCACTCTTCCCCACATTTCCCTTTCCCCCGTGCTCTCACCCTCTGGGGATGGCGGAGGCGAGCCCAGCAGCAGCGGAAGGCGCGCGGGGGCGGGCGCCAGCAGCGTTGGCAGCCACCTCCTCCTCCACCATCGCCACTGCCTCCTTCACTGATGCCAGGATCTCCGTTGTGCTGCTCCGCACAATGAGAGAGAGGGGGGTGGGAGTGATTGAGCGGCAAGGGGGTGGTGCGAGGCAGGCGGCAGACGGTGAGAGGGACTGTGAAGAGGCGAGCGGGTTGTTGGTGTTAAGGCAAGAGAGATGGAGGACATGGGTGGAATTTACTCCACACTGTCTCTCTCTTCCATAGGATTGCTGCCACGTGTCCCTTCCAGGGCACGTCATCTTTATGCGCATTCTTCAGCGTTGAACTCACCCTTTCCATAAAGACGAGCCGAACTCCTCAATTGTGTGGCCCACGCCCTCCAACGAACTCTATAAGGCATTGAGGAGGGATGCACGGAATAAACACGAGGGAAGGGGAGGAGGGAAATAGGGGGTCAATGAGGATGGAAAACGGGAGGGGGAGAACGATGAGGGAAGGAGGAGGGATGGGAAGAGGAGGGAAGGAAGAAAGGAAGGAGGGAGGGAGGGAGAGAGGAAGGAAGAAGGAGATAGCCAGGAAGCGAGGGAAGGGAGGGCGGGCGGGGCGGGAGGGAGGGAGGGAGGGAGGGAGGGAGGGAGGGAGGGAGGGAGGGAGGGAGGGAGGGAGGGAGGGAGGGAGGGAGGGAGGGAGGGAGGGGAGGGAGGGAGGGGATGGAGGGAGGGAGGGAGGGAGGGAAGGAGGGAGGGAGGGAGGGAGGGAGGGAGGGAGGAGGGAGGGAGGGAAGGAGGGAGGGAGGGAAGGAGGGAGGGGAGGGAGGGAAGGAGGGAGGGAGGGAGGGAAGGAGGGAGGGAGGGAGGGAGGGAGGGAAGGAGGGAGGGAGGGAGGGAAGGAGGGAGGGAGGGAGGGAGGGAAGGAGGGAGGGGGGGAAGGAGGGAGGGAGGGAGGGAGGGAGGGAGGGAGGAGGGAGGAGGGAGGGAAGGAGGGAGGGAAGGGAGAGGGAGGGAAGGAGGGAGGGAGGAGGAGGGAGGGAAGGAGGGAGGGAGGGAGGAAGGAGGGAGGGAGGAGAGAGGGAGGGAGGGAGGAGGGAGGGAGGGAGGGAGGGCGGGAGGGAGGAGAGAGGAAGGAGGGAGGGAGGGAGGGATGCAGCGTGGACGGAACAATGACAAGGGAACAGGCTGGAAATGCTCAAAAAGCGAAATCTTGTCGGACCACAAAGGAGGACACCACAGGGGCAGGCACGGCATAGCAGGTCTCACCTGAGCCGCTTGGGCGCCGGACTCGAGTGAGGAAGCAGGTCGCTGACGGTGGTGGCGGTGGTTTCCACCAGCTCCTCCGTCTCCTTCTTGAGCCCCTCGCCGAACTCCTGCAGCTCCTGCTTGTACTCGCGCAACACCTCCTCTGACTGCTCTCACATGTAGCACACATTGCAACACGGCAGGCATGGCGGGCACAGGGACGCATGGCAGGCATGGCACGCATGGCAGGCATGGTAGGCATGGCACGCATGGCACGCATGGCAGGCACAGCAGACACAGCAGGTACAGCAGTCACAGTAGTCACGGGTTGCAGAGTCGCGGTTTGGAAGGACGAGCAGAAAGACAGCACACACAGTCATGACGAGGAGCAATTATGCATGCAGAAGAATCTCCCTCAGGTAAGCAAAGGCCAAACGGCGTGATGAGCAAACGGAAGCAGGAGAATTCGAGTCAGACAAAGCTGGGGAAAGAAGCGCAGTAGAGAATTTCTTACTTTGGTGGCGATTGTTTGTAGCAGACTGCCGAGATTCCAGGTACCGCTGATGAGTGGATGGCATGTGGGGACGACACGTGTCAATGCAACATAGGGCGTCAAATACGCGGCAAACTAACGTTGCACACAAAGGAAAACGACAATGGCGGCAAAGCTGTGCTACTAAGTGCTTTTCCGTAAGAGCATCCCGCTCGGACCAAGCAAGATAGCTGGGTACTCACAAGGCTGAAGGCTGCTCTTCCTCTGTCTCCTCCTCCTCTTCAATCTCGCCCTGGAAACGTGAAAATATACTCGAAAATCGTTAAAACAACAACGCTAGATGCGTTTTTCTACGGTGCTAAATAGTACCGACGTCTCAGCCTTAATGTGCGAGCATATCGAAAATCAAGAAACGGAGACAAGGAAAGAATCTACGCACCTCTTCAGCAGTTCCTTCTGAGGGCTTGTCGCCTTCGCCTTCGTTTTTGTCACCCTCAACCTCTTCTGTCTCAGGAGTTGCCTCTTCCTCCTCATCGTCCTGAAACAGTACCGCTTTAAAGAAGTCCATACCCCCCCAATCTAACCGTAGTTATCGATAGACTCCAACACAGCTACTGTTACTCGCAAGATGCTCCTAACAGCTCCACCAAGTAAGCGACAGACCTAGACCTAACGTTCTCGGCAAGACGTCACGGAGGAGCCCTGAATCTAGGGTCAACAAGCCAAGCGGAAGCGATGCCACAAGCAGCACCATTGAACTACTACAAACCAGCCAACTGGCACCGTCTGACAAGGGAATCCCTAGGAATTCAGGTCTGAAATCGAGGAAGCTCTTGGAAGGATGCAATCGGTCCAAAAGCAAGTGAACAGAGCGCGCGAATACGATGTTCGTGTGTCAGTGAGGCGCGATAATGCCGAGTGTTCAGAACAGTCATGAAGGGTCATACCGTACTCCGTACTATAAAATGGTTAAAATCACCATAAAAATCAATTCCTAGCACAGGGATTGGATTACAGCAGCAAGACTCAGGTATGGGCTCCGGCATATGTACACAACATTGGCTACTTTCAATTCTTAGAAGAAGAATTGCAATGCCAACACCAAATCTATGGTACATACATCCACGACACGTCATACAACCAATCCGGCGTCTCAGAGTCCTCAAGTGGTCGGTGCCGATGAAGAGTCCATTAGAGTGCTCAAGGACTGCAAAACATCAGAACCGAGTGGCGTGAATACACGGAGTTTTCATATACCAAAACAAGGAACAAATGAACAAAGAAAATAAAAGCACCCACCTCCATCTCTGCATGTAATGCTCGAAGAATCTCCGCCTCTGCCAGATTATCCGCATGTGTAGCTTCTTGCTCCGCCTGACCCATTCCCACACCCATAGCTGCATTTTCCCCTGCCTTCTGCATCCTCCACTGCATTTGATGCTCATCCACCCAGCGCCCAGCTGACCCACCCACGACTGCGACCCCGATGTGAGGGCTTCCAAAACTGCATCTGACCTGCGAGATTGCTGCAACCCCAGCATGGAAACCCGTTGGCCCATTTTGCTGAGTCCCACCACACCCATCATTCTGCTCTTGTTGCTGCTCCTGCAATGGAGGAGGGTTGCTTGCATCCACAGGGTGGTCATGCCTTATGCCGTCAGACTGAAGCTTCTCCTGCTGATGCTCTCTCTGGACATCATGCCTCCTTGCATTGCCAGTCGCAGGCTCTGCCAGCAATAGCATTCCTCCTCCACGTTCAAACCCTTGATTTTCCGCTACTGCTGCTCCTGCTCCCCCTCCTGCAGCCGGTGCTGCTGCAGACTTTTCCGCCTCCCCGCCCTCTCCACCGATGCCTCCAGCAAGCTTCTCAAGTGCTCCTGACTGCCCCAGCTGCTGGAACCAACTCGTGTCTTCCCTTGGCCTCCACATATGCACGGAGGCCTCTGCATTCACTGCAGTATTCTCTTGCCCTCACCCGCTTGCCCACTCCACTGCTGTCGCAGCAGCATCTGCTGCTGTTGCTGGTGCTGAAAAGCAGCTGAGGACTCCGAAAGAACATTGGTGAACGAACCACCCTCCCTCCCACTGTCATTGCCCCCAGGCAAGTACTGTTAAAGCCACCACCAACACTACTACCACCAAAAGCGCTGCCACCAGCAACAACAGCACTACTGCGACCAGCATCGAGGCCAACCGATGCAGCCGCCGCCATCATGCCAGCAGCAGCCGTGGATGAGGTGGCACCGATTTCAGCAGCAGAGGCGAACTGCGTATCGCTGAAGGAGGAGAAGCGGTCCGTCACCTCCCCCGACTGCACAGTGGGGAACGCCGGCTCGCTCCAGGCAGGGCTAGATGAATTGGGAGCTGACACTGTAGCACCTGCAGGTGCAGCAGCGGCAGCAGCAGCTACAGTGCTCGTAGAGGAAGGGTAGCTGCGTGGGTGATGATGCATGGGGCTCGGTGGCGCGTGCGGAGGAGTGAGGGGCGGTGACGGAGCGGAAATTAGAGAAGAGCGGGAGATTGGAGACGGCTGCGAAGGAAGGCTGGTGAGAGAGCTTGAGTGCTTGGGCGAGCAGCGACCCGGGCTGAAACACCGACTTGCGATATACAACGGAAGGAAGGAGAGGATGAGAATGTGAGGGATGAGAGGGTTGGTGGAACGAATTTAACGCGTATGAATTCAGCTGCGCATGCACTCACCGCAAGTTGGCTAGCTGCGTCGACATGCTCGCACTCTGCTGCTGCTGCTGCTGCTGTTTGTGTGCATCTACACTCGGCAGGCCCGAAACTTCCTGCTGTGCCACGCCCCCTCTCCCATCGTTCGCGCAATTGCTTCTCTGCTGACCTGCACCATGCTCTCTCCTGCCCACCTCCTCACCACTATTACCCCCTCCCTGCTGTCCCTGCTGCCCTCCCTGCTGCCCTTCCTGCTGCCTCCCCCGTGCCCCTGGCCTTCCACTTTGTTCGCGTGCACTTGAGAGAGCGTGAACCGCTGGGCCTCTATGTGAGCCTGCTTCAGCCACGCCAGTTGCGCATCATCCAGTTGCAACCCGTCCAGCGGAAGACTCTGAGGAAACTCCTGAACCTGCTGCTGCTGTTGAGCTGCTGGTTGCTGTTGAGACTGCTGCTGCTGTTGAGCGTGCTGCACAGACTGCAGTTGTGACTGCTGCTGTTCCCTCGCCTGGCCCTGAAACATGGACAGTCGAGTCTCTGCCTGCATTTGCACTCGTGCTTGCATCTGCACTTGCACTTGCATCTGCGCTTGCATCTGCGCCTCATGCCGACCCTCCAGCCCTTGCAAGGATCCCTGGTTGAAGCTGGACTGCGAGAATAGCTGCTTCTGATGCATCAGTGCAGCTGATTGTGCCTCCTGCAGCCGCTGCTGCTGCTGCTGCTGCATAGCGAGCTGCGCAGCGCTGCTTGCTGCTGTAACAACTGCTGCTGCACGCTCTGTTGCGAAAGGCTGTCCTGCTGCTGGCTGCTGTTGCTGTTGGTGCTGCTGCTGTAGCAAGTGCTGCTGAAGTAACTGCTGCTGCAACAGCTGCTGCTGCAGCGGCTGGGAGGCGTCTGGAGGACCCACTGCTGCCGACGACAACGCTGAGCGCAGCAGTGTCGCACGGAGGACATTTTCGGGAAGCGACGTCGCCTGCTGACGTTGACGGTACAGAAAGAAAAAACGGCCGGCTAACGTCAGCTAAGACGCCACCCCCTTTTGAAGGAGACCCGTGATTGGCGTGTTGATGCCGATGCTGGGCGAAGTTAGAGCCTGAAAAAAAAATCAAGACAGGCCGCAGGGGAAAACGTCCAGTTATGCTTATCAAGTGATGTTCAGCCGATAGCTTTCCATGTGAGAGCCGGCACGTCACGACTAAGAATAGCACAATAAGGAAACGACGGACGATCTCCTTCATCGCAGGAAGGTGACGGCATAGGAAAACGCCGAAAGGAAGGACGGTTGACACGAAAAGAAAATTAGGATCCAGCGTGTAAGGCGTACCGGCAGCACCTCAAGGGGGTTGAGCGCCGCGGCAGCAGCGTGAAGGGCTGAAGACGATCCGGCGAACCCACCCGCGACATGCGGCGATCCGAAGCGGCATGGTGGAAGGATGACGCTTGCGCGGCTCCGGCAACGAACGAAGAAACGGCGGCTCCAGCTGCGGCCGCGTTGACATTCCTGGCTGCGTCATGAATACGGCGTCTTATAGCGCGCTGCAGCAGCTGCGACAGACTGCGCTTGTCCTTGATGCAACGCCTGGAACGCGCGGATTGAGGGGAGGCAAAAGCACAACGCAAAAGATAAGGATAAGCTGCGAGGGTTGGAAATCTGGGAAATGGATAATGTTGTCCGCGATAAACGCAACTCCTCGAGAGATTCGTGGGTGTACTTCAAAAGCTACTACTGAAATGACTTTTCTACTCTTCACCCAAACTTCGCAGGTCCCTTGCATCAACTTCGAGAAGGCAAACACTACATGAAATTAATCGTCTCACTTTTTCAGAAGGATAAATCGGTTGCAGCAGGCCTTCTGATCGCGAATCGGCAGCAAACCGCCGATCTGAAGCGACCCCCAGTTGCGGGTCCCATGCTTCGCCACGTGCTGTAGAAGAATTAAATCTTCCTGTTAACAGGGAAGAAATGACATATATTCAGCTCACCCTCATGGATCAGGTTTGTGACCGACATGAGTACACGTAAGAACGGCATGACGGAAATTTCTGCAGTCAAGCTGGCTACGAAACACAACCTGAGGAGTCCAATTAGGTCGCGTGCGATGACCGCCGAGCATTATTATCCCGGCTCTGCTCCGCGTTCGAGTTGAGCCCCACCGGACGCCGGACTCGGCTCGTCCTCCCCGCCATCGGCGTCACCCCCGCTGCCACTACCCCGAAACCCATCCTCCATAGACGCGGAATTAACACGTTCGGAGCCGAAAGTGCTGGCTGTGGCCGACGATGACGGCGGAAGCATAAGGGGGCTATGTGACGGTACGAACGATCCGGATGCATTGCCTTGGGACTCCATTATTCTACTGCTGCTGTTTCACTCCCGGCAATACTGACGTACAAACGTTCCAACTAGAGTTCAGTCCAAGCCAAGGAGTCGACGTCGCTAAACTCAAAGCAGATCGACTAGAAATAGCAAAACGCGGGTTCTAAAGTCCTTTTAGTGAGTTCGACATGCTATTTCTCGAATATGAAATGAAACGACGGATTATCAAGAAGCGTCTCGCGTTTGAAACGTCGTTTTAGTCACTACGGTGTGTGAAAATCACAAGACGTCAGAACAATTTCACATCTACCGGGATATGTGATCTTGGGATTGACATCCAATAAAGCACACAAAGCGAACTGCAAAGGCGTTAGTCGGCTAGGGTTTCCTCCAACTTTGAGGTTGAGCTTGAATTACAGTCAGTGAATCAGATCCTCTGCATACATTTACGTGGTTTAGGGGGAAGTCGAGGGAGGGTTGCATGTGTAACAGACCAAGACGAGCGATCGTCATTGGCTCTGAGGGGCTAGGCTGAGATTCAGCAAGAAGCCAGAAAAAGCAGCAAGCCGCGAGAGATGAGGGAGAACAGGTTACAGCGGCAGGCGTCATGACTTGATGAACAGCCATTGGCGTTTCCAAGGTCGTCCGTTGAATGATGATGGAAGTCTGTTTCCATGGCCGACAGCTGGGCTTGACGAGGCCTCGAGCAAAGCGGGC